ATTTGCAAACATTTTAATATATATGTACAATGAATATCACTGCTATTATCTATGCACTCTCAGCAGATTTTTTTAAAATATAAATCATTTATTGGGTGTGGGCTTTGATGGTTCGGCCAGTATTTTTTGCCCATCCTTAATTGCTCACAGGGCAGTTAGGAGTCAATCACATTGCTGAGACATTGCTGGCACATAATGGCAAAACCAAGTAAGGGCAACAAATGTCTTTCCTGAAAGGAAATCAGTGAACTACATGTTTATTTTTATTATGATAATTAACAATAGTTTCACGGTAGCCATTGACTAACCTTTTAGTGCAGACTTTTTATTGAATTCAAAATTGACTATCTGCCATGGTGGGGTTCAAATCCTTTTTCCCAGAAAATTAACGTAGCATTCTGGTTTGCTAGTCCAGTGAGAATAGCTCATCACCACCTCCTCTCTTCTTTTCCTTTCCCTTCCACTACATCTAGATGTGGACTCAGTGTGCAGGGCTGTGGTGAAGGAAACCTGCTATATCATGGCGCCTGTTAGCCTTGAATTCTTGGCCAGGTGAGCCCAGGTATGTGTTTGCACAGAGGGCCCACAAATCCTGAGTGCTTCCTGTCTAGATGCAGGCTCACCTTTCAGAGCTTGAATTCCCACAATGTTGACGATAGCGGAAGTATAGCGTTCAGGTAAATATGGAATGTCCTGAGGTGAGACTTCTGAGCGGCCTGTATGTGAATCCTCTTCCTTCTGTATGCCTGTGTCCTTGTAAGGAAAGGCTACAATGATGGGAGTACAGATCTAGTTGCATATCCAGCAGGTACTGAATGTGCTGTAGCTGGCTCTCCATAGAAGCTACCGACCAGTTAACAGAGGTAGCCAGATGCTTGCATATCTGAAGGCGGAATGGCATAGATAGCATTGACAGCCTCTTCCAACCTTCAAGGCCATTTGCCGAGTGCCTCTAACGCACCTACCTGATGCTTCTTTGTCTGCTTGTGCGTTTGGATGAAGTTATCAACGGCTGACACCACGGGGTCCTCTGCTGCCATGGAATGAGAACTGATCTCCACAGTGTTTGAGTGCTGGTTGAGGTGTTTCTTTCACAACCGGGAATGGAGATGTAGCAGCATATCCTGTAGCACGATGTCCACTGTATTAATGTTTATGATTTTTCAATGAGGAGCACCATGAAAGGAACAAGAGCACAAGGCTTGCTACTACAGTCAGGACAAATCAAGATCAATTTGACTCAGTCCCATGATCGACAATGGACTGAGCAGTTGTGATGGGGATTTTACATGTTGCAACCAAATCTTAGTGGACAGGTCCATCATCAAGATGGGTCAAATCCAATCAGCCTTGCATGTTGACCTATAGTTCTTACCAAAATGATAAACCACATGGAGGTTCATAAGAGCTGCTGAGAGGTAAAACTACTTTAAGAGTAAAAACCACATCCATTTGGGTCTACATTGAGTAAAGCTTTGGTTTCCAATGTAGTAGAGGGAGTAAAATATGGGTTTATAAGAATGATAATAAGGTTGGCCTTCAGGCGTTATGAAGAAACATTACACAAGAGCTGTTTTCACTAGAATGTTTAGAAAAGGTTAAAGGATGATCTGATTACATAAGAACATAAGAACTAGGAGCAGGAGTAGGCCGTCTGGCCCTTCGAGCCTGCTCCGCCATTCAATAAGATCATGGCTGATCCTTTCGTGGACTCAGATCCACTTACCCGCGTTCTCACCGTATCCCTTAATTCCTTTATTGTTCAAAAAAAATCTACCTTTTTTTTAAAAGCGTTTACTGAAGTAGCGTCAACTACTTCACTGGGCAAGGAATTCCATAGATTAACAACCCTCTGGGTGAAGAAATTCCTTCTCAGTTCAGTCCGAGATCTGCTCCCTCTAATCTTGAGGCTATGCCCTCTTGTCCTAGCTTCACCTGCCAGTGGAAACATCCTCTCTACTTCTATCTTATCTATTCCCTTCATAATTTTATATGTTTCTATAAGATCCTCCCTCAATCTTCTGAATTCCAATGAATATAATCCCAATCTACTCAGTCTCTCCTCATAAGCCAACCCCCTCAACTCCGGAATCAGCCTAGTGAACCTCCTTTGCACCCCCTCCAGTGCCATTACATCCTTTCTCAAGTAAGGAGGCCAAAACTGCACACAGTACTCCAGGTGTGGCCTCACCAGCACCTTGTACAGCTGCAACATAACCTCTCTGCTTTTTATTTCAATCCCTTTAGCAATGAAGGACAAAATTCCATTTGCCTTCCTAATTACTTGTTGTACCTGCAGACCTACCTTCTGTGATTCATGCACAAGGACACCCAGGTCCCTCTGCATAGCAGCATGCTGCAACCTTTTACCATTCAAGTAATAATCCTTTTTTACTATTACTCCTACCAAAATGTATGACTTCACATTTATTTACATTGTATTCCATCTGCCAGACCTATGCCCACTCACTCAATGTATCTATGTTCCTCTGCAAGGTTTCACAGTCCTCTGCACACTTTGCTTTGCCACTCATCTTAGTGTCATCTGCAAACTTTGACACCCTACATGTGGTCCCCAGCTCCAAATCATCTATATAAATTGTAAATAATTGCGGTCCCAACACCGATCCCTGAGGCACACCACTAGTCACTGACTGCCAGCTAGAATAGCACTCATTTATGCCCACTCTTTGCTTCCTGTTAGTCAACCAATCCTCTATCCATGCTAATACTTTACCCTTAATGCCATGCATCCTTATCTTATGCAGTAGCCTCTTGTGCGGCACCTTGTCAAAGGCCTTTTGGAAGTATAGGTACACCACATCCACTGGGTCCCCACTGTCCACCTCGCTCGTAATGTCTTCATAGAATTCCAAAAGATTTGTCAAGCATGACCTGCCCTTCATGAACCCATGCTGTGTCTGCCCAACGGGACAATTTCTATCAAGATGCCTTGCTATTTCTTCCTTGATAATAGACTCAAGCATCTTCCCCACTACAGAGGTTAAGCTAACCGGTCTCTCATTCCCCATCTTTTGTCTACTTCCCTTTTTAAACAGTGGCGTCACATTTGCTGTTTTCCAATCTGCTGGGACTGCCCCAGAGTCCAGCGAATTTTGGAAAATTACCGCCAGTGCACCTGCTATTTCTCCCGCCATCTCTTTTAGTACCCTGGGATGCATTCCATCAGGGCCAGGAGACTTATCAATCCTTAGCTCCATTAGTTTGCCCAACACTACCTCTTCCGTAATTATGATTGTTTCCAGGTCCTCACCTACCTTCGTCGCTTTGTCTATTACTGGCATGTTATTAATGTCCTCCACTGTGAAGACCGATTCAAAATACCTGTTCAATGCCTCGGTCATTTAATCATATCCCATAACTAAATTCCCCTTCTCACGCTCTGATTGAAGTCTTCAAGGTGCTACAGGAAAATTTTGGGTAGATAAAGATAAACTATTTCCACTTGTTGGGAATTCTAGAACTAGGGAGCATAGTATGAGAATTAGAGAGAGGAGAGATGTTAAGTCAGCATTTCTATACGTAAAAGGGTTGTAGATGTTTGGAACTGTCTTCCACAAATGGCAATAGATGCTGAATCTGTTTGTAATTTTAAATTTGAGATACAGTGATGGATCTATGGAATTGACTGCACCCAGAGGAAACCCACACAGACACGGTGAGAATGTACAAACTCCACACAGACAGTTGCCCAAGGCTAGAATTGAACCCAGGTCCCTAGCGCTGCAAGGCAGCAGTGCTAACCACTGTGCCACCATGGTTCAACCCTGCTGGCATGTTCAGCCACTCAATGAGATAATGGATGATCTGTGGCCTCACTCCATATACCTGCTTTTGGCCCATATCCCTTCGTAACTATGCTGAACAAACAAATATCTATAAGACCATTAGAACATAACACATAGGAGCAGAGGTTAGGCCATTCAGCCTATCGAGTCTGCTCCACCATTCTGAAGTGCAAAGGGACTTAAAAGTCCTAGTTCATGATCCTCTCAAGGTTAACATACAGGTTCAGTTAGCGATTCAGAAGGAAAGTCACTGTTGGCATTCAAGTGGGCTAGAAAACAAGAGGACAGATCAACAACTGAGGCTCTGGTCAGATCACATTTGGGATGTTATGAGCAAATTTGGGCCCTATACCTAAAAAAAAATGTGCTGGTGTTGGAAGGTTTGCAGAAAAATATTAGAAGAATGATCCCAGAGATGAAGGGCTTGACATATGAGGAGCGCTTGAGGTCAATGGACTTTAGAGGATGAGGCAGGATCTGTTTGAAGCTTACAGGATACTGAGAGGCCTCTGGGAGAGACTAGGAGCCTCATGCAAAGCCTCAGGGTTCAGGGATGACCCTTTAGAAATGAGAGGAGGAGGAATTTCTTCAGCTACAGCTTCAGCCTTCTGCCAGTCACTCAATCCTGTATCCATGCCAGGCCCTTGCAGGTAACAGCACTGGCTTTAATTTAGCTGCCTCATGTCTGGCACTTTGTCAAAGGCCTTCTGGAAATCCAAATAGATCATGCCTACTGGCTCTCCTTGGTCAAAAGTGCTCGTTAACACCTCAAAGAATTCTACCAGATTTGTTCATCATGACCTCCCCCTTACAAAACTGTGTGAATTCTACGATAACAAGGTGTACAGCTGGATGAACACAGCAGGCCAAGCAACACATACGAGCAGGAAGGCTGACGTTTCGGGCCGAGACCTACCCTATTTTACCATGTACTTCTAAGTACTTCGCAATCTCATCCTTAATAATGGATTCTAATATCTTATCAATGACTGAGGTCAGGCTAACTGGCTTATAATTTCTCTTTGACTCTGTTTCTCACTTGCTAACTATCTGTCTCTCTCTTTGACTCTCTACTTCTCTTTGACTCTCTACTTCTCTTTGCCTCCCTCTCGCTGATGCTGTTTTCCCCGCCCACAGCGTGATGGCGTCATCACGCTGCACCGCCTCCCTGTTTCCCCGGTAACGCTCCTGGGCCCCGGGAGCAGATGATGGCGGCGACGTCAGGATGGGGGTTGTCGGGCCGCCGGGCGCTATGCTGGGCGAGTTTGCTGTTGATAGCGGGAGGCCCGCGCCCTGAATTTGCGGCCGGCGCCGGACTCGTGAGGCCAGTCGAGGCGACGTCTCCTCCGCTCCCAGGTCCCTGGAGTGGGAGCAGCGGGACCGCTGACTCCGTCCGGGCCGGAGAGGACAATGTGACCCCTGACCCTGTGAAGGCTGGTGGGGACAGTGTGACCCCTGACCCTGTGAGAGCTGGTGGAGACAATGTGACCCCTTACACTGGAAGTGCCGGAGGGGGAAGTGTGACCCCTGACCCTACAGTGGCCAGCGGAAGCAGTGCGACCCCTGACCCCCCAGAGTTAGGAGGGGCGAGTTCGACCCCTGAACCCAGCCTGTGGCCCATTCATTCCGTGAACTCGGTTGACGAGTCATCTAAAAGTCTGACAGCAGGTAAAGCAGCAGCAGGCTATTCAGCCTCTTGCTCCTGTTACCCTCTCACCTCGGGTACTTTTTTAACTTTCTTTTAACATCAGGTGTATTTTTTGATTATACTTGCCTGACTTATTCAGACTGAGTATTACAAATATTTGTAACTTGCTGTGTCAAATAGTTTAACTCACCTATATTACTACACGGCCAATATTTATCTGATCCTCTTTCAATTTGCAAATTGATTTCTTTTTACTTTATTCATTAATGGGATGAGGACTTTGCTGGCTAGGCAGCATTTATTGTCCATCCCTAATTGCCCAGAGGGCAGTTCAGAGTCAACCACATTGCTATGGGTCTGGAGTCACATGTAGGCAGACCAGATAAGAATGGCAGTTTCCTTCCCTAAAGGACATTAGTGAACCAGGTGGGTTTCTCCCGACAATCAACAGTGGATTCATGGTCATCATTAGATTCTTAATTCCAGATATTTTATTGATTTCAAATTCCATCTGCCATGGCGGGATTTGAACTGTTACCTGGGTCTCTGGATTTTCAGTCCAGCGATAATATCACTAGGCCATTGCCTCCCCTGTACGAGGCAGGGATTCAGATATACTGGGTTGGGGGCTATCATTGAGCAGAAACTGGCCTGGTCTTATAAACGTTGTGACTACTAGGATCAGAGGCTAAGAATCCTGCAGAGAGCATCTCGCTTCCTGAGTCCCCAGAGCCTGTCCACTAATTACAAAGCAAACACAAGCCTGGACGATTGCTATTCTAACAATCCTCAAAAGGCTTGACACCATTCAGGATACTGCAACCTGCTTGATTAGCACCACATCACAGACATCAATTTGCTCAACCACCGATGTTCAGTATCTACGAGATACACTGCAGAAATTTGTCAAAACTCCTTAAACAGGAACAGCACTGCCTGCACATTTCCTACGATCCACTCATTATCCTAACCTGGAAGTATTTCACCATTCCTTTGTTGTCGCTGGGTCAAAATCCTGGAATTCCCTCCCTAATGGCATTGTGGGTCTCCCCATACCAAATGGACTGCAGCGGTTCAGGAAGGCAGCTCACCACCACCTTCTCGAGGGTAATTAGTTATAGTCAAAAATGCAGTCCCAGCCAGTAAAAAAAGAACACTTCCTGTGAATTAACAAAAAAAGCGCAAAGATGGGGGATTTTTTTGGATTATCTCGATTCCTGTAAAGTCTTTCTTTGTGATATCCTTTCAGCTGTTCCCATGTGTATCTGTGACTTAATTGAAGGACTCTGTGAAATCGGCTGTTGCTGTGACCCTGACTGCTCCAATGAGGATGTTGGTGCCTTTTCTTCCTGCCTGCCTGGCAGTGAACCGTAAGTCCTAGTTATGTGACTATATTCGTCCTGGTCTAACACTGCCTCAATTTTAGAATTCTCATCCTCTTGTTCAGATCCTTCCCTGTTCCTTCACTTCTTGGTGTGTTATCTGTGACTCAAGATGTGTCAATGCTGGAAATTCTACCGTGCGTAATTCACCACCTAACTCCCCTTAGTCGCTCCATCACTCAAAAAGCAAAAGTCAAGATTGTGATGAAATGCTGTCCAATTGCCGGCATGTTTAGTTTCAGTAACACTGAAACTATACACCGTCCAGGAGAAATCAGTGCACTGGATGGGTACTGCATCTGCCAGCATTCACTTTAAAATTCACTCTGTCCATCCTGGTGCGTAGTGGCAAATGCGTTGCAGCAACTTAGTCAGGCTCCTTTGATCTCGTCTTCCAAATTTGAGACATCTATCACCTAGAAGGATTGGGGCAGCTGATGGACGGCAACACCACAACTGCAAGTTTCCCTCCAAGTCCCAAACCATCCTGACTTAGAATCATAGAATCCCTACAGTGTAGAACCAAGCCATTTGGCTCATCGAGTCCTCACAAACTCTCTGAAGAGTATCCCATCCAGACACACCCCCACCCCATCCTTTCCCTGTAACCCTGCATTTGACATGGCTAATCCACCTAGCCTGCACATCCCTGGATACTATGGGCAATTTAGTATGGCCAATCCACCTAACCCGCACATCTTTGGACTGTGGGAGGAAACCGGAGCACCCAGAGAAAACCCATACAGAGAAGGAGAATGTGCAAACTCCACCCGAGGCTGTGGGGGAGTGTGGTGGTGGGTTGGCAGCGTGGCTAACTATAGAGCCGCCATGTTGTCTTTGCAACATCACTGCTGTGGGTAGAAACCTCTGAAACTCCCTTTGTACCAACGCTTTATGTGTACTGACACCTCAAAGACTGGAGCTATTCAAGAAGATGGCTCACCACCACCTTCTCAAGAGTAATGAGGCATGTGCAATAAATTTTGACCTAGCCAGCAATGCTCACATCTCGAGAAAGAATTAAAAAATTCTTTATCAATTTCAACTATGGCTTGGCCTTGCAACTCGACTCATCGCTGTCATCTTCACCAGCCCTACAAATCTCAGTCTCACATTCATATCCCCCATGGATCATCTTTATTCTTATCACCTCCACCAGCTCTATAACCTTCTGTGTGATCTTACAATTTTAACCTTGCTGACATGCTTAGTCTCCTAGCTTAGCTTTGCTTTGGCTGCTGGCCTATCAGCTGCTTGGTCCCACAGCACTCCCTCCCCTGTCCTTTCCTGCTGCTGTCCTAGGTTTTTGACCAAGCCTTCTGTTATGTCTGCTGATCTCCCTGTACACCATTCGGTGTTACAATCTTGCTCATAAATTCCACAGCGAAGAGCCTTCAGACATGTAATTATGTTCAAAGAGAGAAATATCCAGTGATTTTACAGAACTATTGTGGGTGGGAGGGGGAGGGGGCTTTCTTTAAAAAAATTCCTGCCTTCTCGTTACAATTCACCTTGAGCTCCATTCCCCTTAGTACTATCAAAACGGAGCAAGGACATTCAGGCCTTTGAAGCTATTCCATAATATGTAATTGGGACTAATTTTAACTCAGTGCTTTCCTTACCTTCGTATCATTCATCTGTGTCCGCCAAAAATGCTGTTCATCTTCGTCTCAGAAACTCCAATTGTCATCCAGTCTCTATGCGTTTTTGGGGAGAAGGTTCAGGATTTCAACTCGCCTTTTTCCTTGCTGTATTTGCTCCTCAATTCAAGCTTTAAATTTCACTCATTCTCCCTGTTCTGGCCTTATACTACCAAAGGGAGTCATTTCTCTGTATCCATCGACAAAATCTTTCTTTCAAACCAGTGCATTGATACAAAAGCCATTACGGAGCTTGGAGCAGTGAAAAAGAATGGAGCTTTCAGCCTTTTAGTCTGCAATTCCGTCCAAATCAATCCTGTCTTGTTGGAAATGATAATTGCTCTGTGGTCCTTGTCTTGGTGCTGGGTATTTTATGCAAGTCTGTAATCTTCTAGCTTGGTGCTGGATGTGATACAAAAGCCTGTGTCTTTACAGTTAGTGCTGAGCATTGTACATGACTCACTGTCAGTGTATACAAAGTAGAAGCAGACATAGACCATTTGGCCCCAGGTGCCTACCTGCCATTTAATAAGATCATGGCTGATCTGTTTCTGTTTTAAGTTTTGCATTTTTGTCTACCCCGGATAACCCTTGATTCCTCTGCCTAACGACAATCTATCCAACTCCACCTTAGAAATATTCAACTACTGAACCTCCGTTGCTATCTGAGATTGATAATTCCAAATTCGTACAGCTTAATAAGAGAAGATATATTCTATCTCTGACTAGAAAGGACGACCCCTAATTTTAAATCATCCCCCTGACTCACCGCCTCCCTCCCGTTCTGGATTTGTCTGCAAGAAGACACATCCTTTCTCTATCCACCTTGTGGAGACCATGCAGGATCTTACAATCAAGCCACATCTCACTATTCTAAACTCCAGTGGAAACAGGCCAACCTATCCTCATAAGATAACCCAGTCATTCAGCATATCCGTTTAGTAAACCTCTGAACTGTATCTAATGCATTTATATTGGTCATTATATGAGGAGACCAAAAGTGCACATAGTATGACAGATGTGGTTTCGCCCATGTCCTGTGTGACTGAAGCATAATATTATGACATTTATGTTCAGTTTCTGCCATAGTAAGGTATAGATCCTATTAACCTTCTTGGGATGTGCTGTACTTGCATGATAATATTTTGTGGCTCTTGCACTAGAACATATAAATACCTCTGTACATGGAAAATCTGTAGGTGTTTTCCATTAATGTCATACTCAGCATTTAAATTCTCCTGCCAAAGTAAATAACTTGATATTTTCCAACATTATGCTCCATCTGCCAATCTACACAGTTTAGAGCTAGACATTGTACAGGTGACACTGTCTTTACAATCCAGTGCTGGGTAATTTTCAGGACTCACTGCACTTAAAGTGTGGTGCTAATGTGGTACATGAGTCTGCGTCCTTGCAGTCCAATCCCTGTCTTATACAGGAGCCAGTGATCTTTCAGTAGGTACTGGGTATTGTACTGGACTCACTGTCCTTGGAGTTCAATGCTAATTACTGTATGGAGTCTGTAAGGTACCATCCAGGGCTGGCACTTGTACAAGAGTCTTTCCTGGTTCACTGTAGTCCTCCTGTTCCTGGGCAAATGGTTCAAGAACCTGAATAGCTTCCTCCGATTTCAGTGTTGCAGAATCAAGGGGAAGAATGACTTCCTGTTTCCAGATCCCAGAACCAGAAGACCATAAGATATAAGGAGCAGAATTCAGCCATTTGGTCCATAGAGTCTGATCTGCCAATCAATCATGGCTGATACGTTCCTCAACAACATTGTCCTGCCCCTTCCCCATAAGCCTTGATCCCCTTACTAATCAAAAATCTACCTACTTTTGTCATAAATGCACTGAATGACTTGGCCCTCACAGCCCCCTGCAGTAATGAGTTCCACAGAATAAGTTACCCTTTGGCTGAAGAAATTCCTCCTCATCTCAGTTCTAAAGGGGCATCCCTTCACTCAGAGGCTGTGCTAGTGAAAACATCTTCTCTACGTCCTCTTTATCCAGGCTCTCGGTATCCTGTAAGTTTTAACCAGATTCCACCCTCCATCACTGTACTTTTAAACTCCATCAGGTACAAACCAAGAGTTGTCAACCTCTCCACATATGACAAACCCTTCATCCCCAGGGTCATTCTCGTCAACCCACTCCAATGCCAGCACAATTTTCCTTTGACACAGGGCCCAAAACTGCTCACAGTATTCCAAATGTGTTCTGACTAGAGCCTTATTCCGCCTCAGCAACATTTCTCTGCAGTTGTATTTTTGCTCTTGAAATTAATGCCAGCACTGCATTTGCCTTTCTAACTGCCAACTGCACCTACATGTTAACCTTAGAGAATGCTGAACTAGGACTCCCAAGTCCCCTTGTGCTTTAGATTTCAAAAGCCTTTCCCTATTTAGAAAATAATCCATGCCTCTACTCTTCCCAAAGTGCATAAGCTCACACTTTGCCGCATTCCATATGCTACTTCAGTACCCACCTGCCTAGCATGTCCAAGTCATTTTGTGGCCTCCCCACTTCCTCAACACTAACTGTCTGCCCACCTGTATTTGTCTCATCTGTAAATTTAGCAACAATCTCCACAGTTCCCTTGTCTAAATCTTTATTTTGTAATGTGAATATTTGTAGTCCCAATCCTGACCCCTGCAGAGCTCTGGTAGTCACTGATATTTCACCCTTAGTGTTTGGGTTTGGAATTGGAGCTTAGCTCTTTGTGACTCTGAGCTGCCTGATCACTGCTTCTCATAGTGACTAATTCTGGTTCTTTATCGCACACAAACAAGCTCAACCGTTGCTCCTTTTTCTGTTGCATATAGGGCTATCAATAAGGTGTGCATTGAAAGTTCGGCAATCTTCACCAGTAACAGCCCTTTCCCTGCAGATTTCATTGAAGATGGTCCAGACAGTCTCTTCTGTGTAATGATTAATGACCGTAAGTAGCACAAAATACACTGCCCGAGAGCAGTGCATTATCTGCATATATAGCAATGGTAGCATGATAAAGTGTTCCAATATGTTTTACAAAGCAATATGTTTTACAAAGCAACATGTTATGACCAAGTCACAGAAGAATTTAATAGACAGACAGCGACTGTCCCAAAAAAGAAAGCATCTAACCATTTCCTCTTGACATTCAGTGTCATTACCATCGCTGAATCCCCCATAATCAACTTACCATTTAGCAGAAACTGAAATGGAATAGCCATATGAAAACCGTGGCTCAAAAAAGTGTTAGAGTCTAGGAATCCCGCAGCAAAGAACTCTCCTCCTGACTCCCCAAAGCTTGTCCATGATCTCAAGGCACAAATCAGAACTGTGATAGAGATGTCTCCACTTGTCTGAATGGGTGCAGTTCCAACAAAATTCAAAGTCGATACAATCCAGGACATAGCTGTCCTCTAGGTTAGCTTCCCATCTACCAGATTCAACATTCGTTCCTATCACCATGGATGGGAACGGTGGCAGCAGTGAGTACCATCTGAGGTACAGTGCACGAACTCACAAGGCCGTTTCAGCAGTACCTTTCAAACTCACAACCTCTATCTTTTGGAAGGCCAAAGGAACTGTGACTGTTTATAACTTCCCGTAGAGACCACAGGCATCCTGACTTGGAACTATATCAGCTGTTTTTCGCTGGGTTCTGAGGCAAGGTGAATGGACTCGAAATGTTAACTGGATTTTCTCTTGCCAGATGCTAGCAGATGTGCTGAGCTTCTTAAGCAATTTCTCGATAATTGCAGCAAGCCTTTTGTGCTTCTATACTCCAATCCTCCTGCAAGAAAGGCCCAGAACCGTTTGGCTTCCTTATTGCTTGCTGCAATACCCTGCTTTCCCGTTTTTCCTAAATAAGAATGGGAGAGAAGAATGGAACCAGGTGAAAGTGGTGCTGAACAGTTGGACAGTGGAAAGATGTCAGAGGAGGATGGTGTGCTCAACTAAGTGTATCGGCTATGGACAGGTCGAGAAAAATGAGGAGGAGAATTATTACCTCTGTCACAGTATTACAGGGTGTCATTTGTGCCTCTGATAAGAGCTGTTTCACTACTGGGTCAGGGATGGAGACGATACTGACCAAAGACTTTGGAAAAGACAGGGAAGCTGATGGTGAAACTGATGGTTGCAAGGATGGAAGGTTGATGATGATAGATTTAGAGCAGAATACGACACCTGAATGGAGGAAATTGCCACAATGGGGATCCTGAAGGGCAAGCAGATGGCCAGTGGTGCAGTTTAAATAGGGTCAATAGAAGAAATGGCTGAACCCTGTGAGTATGACATTCATGCAGATGACATGACTGAAGCTAGAAAAGCATGTGGAGAAAGATGCAAGTGATGCAGAGGAGAAGGGTGGAGAGAACATAAATGTGTTCTTGCAAATTTGGCCAGTGGACTTGAGGGTGAGGGAGGGGTGGGGCAGAGAGTTAAGCAGGAAAAGCATTGATCTGATGGGATGCACTTGTCTCTGCAATAATAAACTCCATTACCTCTCCACAGTGATTGCTGAAGTTTGGGTGGGGAGACAAGGGAGAGGGATTTCAAAATGTGAGTGGTTAAAAAAAGCCAGGGGCTATTGTATTTCAGGAAGATCCTGCCAGAGTGCGCAGTGTAGATCAGTGAACAGTGAGTGAGGGTAGCTGGCTGCCTCTTTGGTTACAGCTCAGGTTGACTGAGGGAATATAAGTCACAGACCACATCCAGTGGAGTTTGTTCTCACCAAGTTACATCAGCTGATAGAAAGTATAGCACCACTGTCACAAAGAGAGAAAGAGATCTTGGTGCCTCTTAGTTACAGACTCCTCTTTTGTGGTATATCAGGTAGCAGTTCTGCCTCTGGATGTAGGGTATACAGACAGGCTCCCACTACTAAGACTTGAACTGGTAATCCCCATTTGACTGTCAGATGCAGTGTTGAAGGAGTGCTACCCTGTTTGCAGTGCCATTTCTTTGGCTGAGCTATTAATTCCATGTCCTCAGATAAATTGTTAAAAGAAAATATAACAGCTTGTTTCCATGAAGACTAGAAGAGGTTCCCTTTGTGCGATGGCCAAGATTTCTTCCTCAGCCAGTGCCACCAAAATGGCCGCTAACACTGTACTATTTGCAGGATTTTGCTCTGCATTTCTAAAATTGCAACAACAGCAAGACTTCAATAAGTTCTTGCTTGGAAGTGATTTGAGATTCTTGTGCTTCTGAAAGAAGCTTTATGAATGCAAATCTTCTTTATTTCAGTGGGGGCTTCTTAATGACCACGTGGATACAGGACTTTGGTCTCGTGCAGGTTGTAGATGAAGTATAACAACACCTCCTCTATTAAAGAGCTGCTGCATGTGTGGCTGGTTTATTTTGTGCATCTTAGGGGTGGGGGTAATGGTGGGTATGGATGTGAAAAATGGAGAGAAATCTGGTACAGAGATGAAAGCTAAATGTAACATTCTGCCTTTTGTTTCAGCAAGGACAAATTTCTTTGTCACACCACAGTCCATTGATAGAGAGAGCTTTCCACTGCTGGTTTCACAGTTTGGCAGAGGTTCTTTTATTCGCCATTCGGAGCAGCAAAGCAGTGAATGGGTAAGACTGGATCCATTCATTGCCAAACGTTGAAGCTGAGCCTTACAGATCACTAATCAAGGGATTGCCAAGGGATTCCCCTTCTCTCAGCATGCGCTGGATCTCCATTCTGCCTCTCCTGCACCCGTAGAATCCAGCCTAAGCTCAGGGGGCCTAAGCTCAGAGGACCCTGCATCCCTGGCTTGCTGAATCCTCAGTTCTCCTGGATTCATGATATATTCCAACTGACCAGTGCCCTCCAGGTTTCTCTGCCCCACCCTCTGAGTGGAGAGATATCAGAATAAATGGAAGGATGTTAGTGCTCAGTGGATGAGTGATTGCAGATGACAATGGGAGTTTGGGGACGAGCACAGGGTGCTTTGATGGGGGCTGGAGGTTTTTGGGATGTTGAACATGCAAGGCAAGTGCCATCCAAACTTACTAGCTCTGTATCGCCGATTTTGATCTCCCACAATGCAAACTCCACATCTGAGTAATGGATTTACTTGAAACTTCCATGTTGTAGAGACAGAGCACTGCACTTTCAGTCAAATTCACTCAAACAGTTTAAATTTTAACTTTGCTTCTGCTTCACTGTGTGCAGACTGGCAGTTGTTTTCTGTACTGAAGAAGTGACCAAACTTCAAAATGCTTCCAGATTTCCTGAGTTAGGACATCTCGTGAATCTAGGAAGACTGAAGATCTAGCAAGCCGGGGGAAAGGGTCTCCTGAGCTTTTATCAAGAGAGGTTTTTTGAATTTTTTTTTAAGAATTAAAGGCTAAGCTATGGGGAGAAATTTTCAGAGTATTGACCAAAAGCTTGGTTAAAGTGGTGGATTTCAGGCACCATCTTAATAAAGAGAGACGCTGTGAGGTTTAGTGGTAAAATTCCAGCAGTTAGGTCTCTGCGCTGAAGACATAGCTGCCAATGGGCAAGCAATTAAATTTGCTACTGTACAAGAAGCTTTGGAACAATGTAAGGATCTTGTAGGGTATAGCAGAGATGACAAATGATTAGAAGAAGGAGAATATGCAGAGATTCTGATGCAAAATAATATTTGGAGGTGATTGCAGAGATGGATTGGAAAGTCAATGTAAGAATTTAAGCCCAGGCATAATCATTGTAAACTGGAGTGGAGGATGAGCTCAGATTTACAGAGGTTACAAGTTTCTCCATGCAATCAGAAATAACTCCTGCTCCTCAATGATTGTACTGATCATTTAAACAGTTCTAAGCAGAGAATGGGACTCTAATCCTCACATTTTTCTCTGTCCTTTCCTTACAGCCTAAAATATTATCTGAAGCTTCCTATCAGGTAAGGTTCAAAATTTTCAAGCAGCTCACTCTCTTGCCAGAGAGTGAGTTTATCCTTCTATAGAACCTTTTTAGTATTGGTATGGCGTTTTTATGATGCAATTTATAGCATTCCTATCTCTGACCCAGAAGGTCCAAGATCAAATCCCAATCCAGGACCTAATGGCAAAGAAGGTGTGTTCATAACGTGGCCAAACTGAATTACCACCATCTTCTAAATAATTTCATCATACATCACTGGTAGGCTGTATGAGGTGGGAGAGATTTCCAGCAAGCCATATGAGAGAAAGAATATTGGAGACTCTACCATCACTACCCATAGCTCCAGAACATAGAACATAGAACATTACAGCGCAGCACAGGCCCTTCGGCCCTCGATGTTGCGCCGACCTGTGAAACCAACCTGAAACCCATCTAACCTAAACTATTCCATTATCATCCATATGTTTATCCAATGACCATTTAAATGCCCTTAAAGTTGGCGAGTCTACTACTTTTGCAGGCAGGGCTTTCCACGCCCTTACTACTCTCTGAGTAAAGAACCTACCTCTGACATCTGTCCTATATCTATTACCCTTCAATTTAAAGCTATGTCCCCTCGTGCTAGCCATCACCAACCGAGGAAAAAGGCTCCCACTGTCCACCCTATCTAATCCTCTGATCATCTTGTATGTCTCTATTAAGTCACCTCTTAACCTTCTTCTCTCTAACGAAAACAGCCTCAAGTCCCTCAGCCTTTCCTCATAAGACCTTCCCTCCATACCAGGCAACATCCTGGTAAATCTCCTCTGCACCCTTTCCAATGCTTCCACATCCTTCCTATAATGCGGTGACCAGAACTGTACGCAATACTCCAAGTGCGGCCGCACCAGAGTTTTGTACAGCTGCAACATGAAAATAATATGCATGTAAAAGTGTATGTTGCAAAAGCAATTTGGACTTTTTAGTTTTGGGAGTGATTGCAGTTGGTTTATTTGGATAGATGGCTGATGGGGATCAGATTCCGTTTGATCCCTGTTCTGCCTCGGATGGATTCAGAACCTGTTTCCTTGTCCTAACCATGTAAGAGGTGGTAGCCACAGAATTTGAATTGGTACAACTCGGGAAAAATCCGTACTGAAACTGATTCCTGGAAGCAATACTCGCAATAGGGTCTAAACAGAGTCTGTGCAGCCGTAACATGACTTCCATACTTCGCCCTTTAGCTCTAGAGGTAAACACAAACATAGCAATAGACATTCAACTTTTTTTTTAACCTGAATGAGTTGCGCTTTTGGTATTCCCAAATCCCTCTGTCTGTCCACATTTATTGGTGTCTTGTCACATAGACAATGAGGTGAAGTCCTGGGGCAACGCAGAAAAAAAGCTTTCTCAGCTCCCTCACAGGAGGCAGGGAATTGTGCCTATGGTGACTCTGGTCGAGGTGGAAACTTGATCCCATTTCCTACCCTTTTTAATTGTACTGCAGAATATTTTTCTTCAAGTATTATCTAATTTCATAATGAAAATCACCACTGAATCATCTTTTTGGCTACATTCACAGCCACCACATTGATTTTACCATTTCATGTGCTTTCACACCTTGCAATCACCTCTAATACCTCTTCTGTATTGCTATCTGCTCAAGGATCCATTCCCTTCACAACTTGATTTACACTGGCTGCCCCAAACAAAACCATCTTTTAATTAGTGTAATAGTGGTTTAATGATTTAATATATACTAAAAACAAGAGGATAAATGGGGAGAAGGTAGGACCACTGAGGGATAAAGGAGGGAACTTTTGCTTGGAGACAGAGGATGTGGGCGAGATCCTAAATGAATACTTTGTGTCAGTATTCACTCAGGAGAAGAATATGGAGGATAGTGAAATTTTTGTGGAGCATGTTAATATGCGAGGGCATCTTGAGATCAAGAAAGAAGTGGTGTTGCGTCTCTTGAAGAACATTAAGGTAAATAGGTCCCCAGGGCTCAATGGTATCTACCTCAGGTTATTGAGAGAGGCAAGAGAGGAGATTGCTGGATGCTTGACTAAGATTTTTGTATCCTCGCTAGCCACTGGAGAGGTCTCAGAGGATTGGCAAGTGGCTAATGTTATTGTTTAATGTTGCTGTGTTTAAGAAGGGAAATAGGGATAATCGAGGAAATGTCAGACCAGTGAGTCTCACGTCAGTGGTTGGGAAGCTATTGGAGAGAATTCTTAGAGAAAGAATTTATGTGCATTTAGAAAAGTTTGGGCTAATTGGGGATAGTCAGCATGTCTTTGTGCTGGTAGGTCATGTCTTACTAACTTCACTGATCACCTTCATCATCTCCTAAAAAAGGTTTCAGTTTGGGCTAGAGCAGTGGATGTTGTCTACGTGGATTTTAGTAAGGCTTTTGATAAGGTTCCTCATGGAAGGCAGAAGATTAAGATGCATGAGATCCACGTTGACTTGGCCTTGTGGATTCAGAATTGGATTGCCCATCGAAGGCAGAGGGTAATGGTGGAAATGTATTTTTCTGGCTGGAGGTTCATGCCTAGTGGTGTTCTGCAGGGATCCGTACTAGGCCCTCTGCTGTTTGTGATATATATAAATATCTTGGATGAAAATGTGGATGAGTGGGTTAGTAATTTTGCAGATGATACAAAGATCGGAAGAGTTGTGGATAGTGTAGAAAGTTGTCAAAGGATGTAGTTGCAGATCAGTTGCAGATATGAGCGGAGAACTGGCAGATGGAGTTTAATCCAGGTAAGTATGAGGTATGTTTGGGAGATCAAATATTAAGGAAAAGTATACAGTTAATAGCAGGACCCAGAACAGCATTGTTGTACAGAAGCGTCTTGAGGTTCAAGTCCATAACTCCCTGAAAGTGGCTATGCAAGTAGATAGGGTGGTAAAGAAGACATATGGCATGCTTGCCTTTATTGGTCGTGGAGCTGAGTACAAGAGTCAGGGTGTCATGTTGCAGCTTTATAAGACTTTTATAAGGCCACATTTCGAGTGTTGCATTTGGTTCTGGTCACCACATTACAGGAAGGATTGTGGAGATCTTGGAGAGGGTGCAGAAGAGCTTTACCAGGATGCTGCCTGGAATAGAGGGCATGAGCTATAAGGAGAGGCTAGAAAAACTCGGGTTGTTTCCTCTGGAGTACCGGAGGCTGAAGTGAGACTTGATAGAAGTCTATAAAATTATGAGATGCAAAGATAGCGTTGACGGTCAAAATCTTTTTCCCAGAGTTGAAATGTCTAAAACTAGGAGGTGTGCATTTAAGGTGAGGGGAGGCAAGTTCAAAGGAGGTGTGAGGTGTAAGTTTTTTACACAGAGAATAGTCGGAGTCTAGCACATACTGCCAGGGGTGGTGGTGGAGGCAGATATGATAAGGGCATTTAAGGCACTTTTAGATAAGCACATGAATATGCAAGGAATGAAGGGATATGCACCAAGGGCAGGCAGAAGGGAATAGATTAATTTGACGTCATGTTCGGCACAACATGGTGAGTCGAAGGGCCCGTTCTTGTACTGTATAGTTCTGTATTCTATTGTATGTTTAATTTTGTAATTATCCATTTTTAAACATCCATCAGTTGTGTTTCTGCAGCTAATTATCTATTCTGCCACCCCCAGGGCGCCCTGTCAAAATCAGTATTTTCTCTTCACCTTGTGAATCAGCCTCGTAAGCCACTCCAATTCTCTTCCTCATAACTATGGTTTTAACTCAATTCTCCAAAATGCTTTCTGGCCCGTAACCCTCGATGCCCTTGCTGATCAAAAGACGTCTAATTCAGCTGCAGTGTATTCAGAGTCCCAGTCTCCACTTACTTTCTTGGTTAGCGAATTCCAAAGAAGAATGACCCTCTGTGAGAAGAAGTTCATCTGTCTTTAATGGACAGATTCCCTCATGAGAGAAGCACCTCACTGTGTCCACCCTGTGAAAACCACTTAGGACTGTACAGAGATTCTTCATTAACCTGTTGTAGATATGTTATGCCACACCTCTTGTAAAAAGATAACATTCCATTTACTGTGGTGCCTGCATTCTGAGCTTTTGTGATACTACATTGAAGAGGGAACCATTTGATGACAGAACATGCTCAATTTGTTACCTTCACCTCTCATATGTTGCCTGCATTTGTTCAGGTTGGTGACCAGATCAGAATGTTATTGATGCAATGGTTTGCACTGGGCATTTTGCGGCAGCCGTCGGCACTAACAGGAGGGGAGTGCACTGACAGGAATCCAGCAGGTATGAACCCTCACCACTCTGCGCCATTCTGAACCAGTGATGTGTAGTTGCCTCTTCAAAAACTGCTCTGGGTATCCACTGGGTGCTCTGTTTCACATCTTGCCTCTTAAAGGTGGAATCTTTTGATTTACAATGGAAGGAAATGCAGAATTCTGAAGTTGCCACACAGGTTTCAGATAGACACCATGCATACAGATGCATGAACACAGGCGCACACACATACATGTGCACATGTTCAAATTGATGCATGCACCCACACATTTCTGCATGCATGCATGCATATTCACATGCACATACATAGACATACACATACAAATATACAACTTAGGAGCAGAGGTAAGCCATTAAGCTCTTCAAACTTGCACCATCATTCAATGGGGTATCTTTTTGATTGTGTTTTTGTTTATGTTTTGAATTCCATATTTTGAATTCCTGTCTTTCCCTGCAAGCTTAGAATCTTGTTAGGCAGGAAAATTAATCCATTCTACTTCAAAAATATTCACTGACTTTGCCACTTTCTCTGGCAGAGAGTTCTAAATCCAAGCAATCCCCTGAAACAGCAATAATTCTCAACATCTCTGTCCTAAAAGCGGAGCCCCTATTTTTTTTTTTTTAACAGTGCTTCTGTTCGGTTAACAGGTTTTGTTCATGGTCAATTCATTTCTTCCCAGCAATTGTGCCCATTGTTTTGAAATTTCATTTCAGAGTTGATTTCAATTGGCTCTTGTTTTAAATTAAAATTTTACGTTTATTTATCCCCTTAAACTTCAATTAAATTTCCCTAATTTCAGAAACAAATCTGTCCAAGGGTGGTGGTTTTAAACATTGTATTTATATTGGAGACGCAAGTGGTTACATCTGTTCAGGGCTCCCCTATTCTCAAATACTTTCACTCAACAAACTTCATGTTGTGTTCTCAAAACCTGTTTAAAACACAAAAACAAACAAACAAAAAAAAATGCTGTGACTCTACAAGAAGCCCATGAGTTAATAATGTCCAAACATACCTATAAATTTAGAAATCAAAAATCCAGTCCTGTTCAAAATCGCACATCTAACCACCCAGAAGGTTACGGAGTAGTGATAGTGGGGATTTCAACTTTCCAAGCATTAACTAGAGTAGTCAAAGTGTGAAAGGTTTAGAGGGAATGGATTTCTTAAATTGCATTCAGGAGAGCTTTTTAAGTCAGTAGAAGGTCCTGTAAAAATATGGACATCCTGAATTTAATTTTAGGTAATGAAGTGATTGAAATATTAGTTGTTGAGCATTTTGCAGCCAGAGATCGTAGCTCCATTATATTCAAGATTGTTATAGGAAAAGGATGGGCCTAAAGTCAGAGTTCTAAACTGGGGAAAATACTGATTTTGATAAGATCAGGTATGATTTTCCCATAGTTGACCGTGCGCCCATATTAAGGTAAATCCTTGTCAGAGCTTTGAGGTGCATTCAAGAAGGGAAAAAGGAGGGTACAGCTCCAACATTTCCAATGGCAGTAAATGGTGGAATCAAACAAATCTAGTTGAGCCCTGGATGTTGAGAAATATACAGGATGAGGAGAAAAAGGGATGTGTATGGAAGATACTGAGGGCTTAATACAATATAAACCTTAGCGGAGTAAAGAACATGCAAAAGGGAACTGAAAAAGGAAATTTGGAGAGCAAAGTGGGGACATGAAAGGATAATAGCAAGTAAAATAAAGGAAAATCCTCAATCATTTTACACATACATTAAGGTTAAAAGGATGACTAGGGAAGGATTAGGGCCTGTTAAGGACCACACTGGGAATTTGTTCGTGAAGCTGGACAATGTAGATGGGGTTTTGTGACCTGTTTCACTTGAGAGGAATGATGTGGATGTAGAAATCAGGAAGAAGGATTGTGATATAATTAAAGAAATTACCATAGACTGAGAGGAGGTTCTGATTAGTCTGGCAGGCTTTAAAGTAAATAAATCTCCACAGCTGGATAAAATTTATCCCAGGCTGTTGAGTGAGACGAGAGATGAAATAGCGGGGGCACTGGCAATAATTTTCAATTCCTCTCTGTCAGCAGGAGAATTGCCAATGTGGTACCATTGTTCAAGAAGGGAGGAAGGGATAAACTCGGAAACTACAGGCCAGTTAGTCATACCCCAGCAGTGGGGATACTATTGACAATTCTGATGGACAGAATCAGTCTGCACTTGGAGAGGCAGAGATTAATCCAGAATAATCAACATGGATTTGTTGAGAGTAGGTCATGCCTGACCAACTTGATTTTTTTTTTTGAATAGGTGACCAGTTCTGTAGATTCAGTAATATGTTTGACATGGTTGACTTGGATTTCAGCAAGACTTTTGAAAAGGTCCGGCATGGGCATTTGATAATAAAGGTTAAGAGTCCTTTGGGTCCAAGGAAGTTTGGCACATTGGATCCAGAATTTGCTGAGTGGCAACAAGCAGAGATTGATGGTCAAGGGTGTTTTTGTGACTGGAAGACTAGGTTCGGTGGTGTTCCCCAAGAATCAGTGTTGTGGCCCATGCTGTTGTGGTATATATATATGGTTTCAACTTGAACATGTCAGGGTTGATCAGTAAGTTCATGAACGATAAGAAAATTGGTGAAGTGCTAAATAGTAAGGTGGATAGCCTTGGATACAGATGTGTTGGTCAGATGCAGATACGCTTAGTCAGGACAAACAATTCAAGGGAGTACATGGTGAATGGTAGGACCCTGAGAATCATCAAGGATCAGAGGACTTTGTATGTCCATCTTTCCCTTAACGTAGCAGAATAGGTAGATCAATGGTTAAGAAGACATCTGATGCTTGTCTTTATTAGCTGAGACATAGAGTTTAAGAGTAGGTAGATTATGCTAGAACTGGAGAAAATTTGTTTAGACCACAGCTGTAATATTGTGTGCATCTTGCGATCCTCATTATAGGATGAAGGTGATTGCATTAGATATGGTGCAGAGGAGATTTAGCAGGGTATTTCCTGAGCTGGAGAGTTTTAATTATGAAGAGAAATTGGACAGACAAGGATTGTTTTTCTAACAGCAGAGGAGACTTGAGGGAGAACAGGAATGAGACGCTTGAAATTGTGGGGAATTGATAGGGTATACAGGAAGGAACTTTTCTCCTTAGTGGAAAGTTCAATGACCAGAAGGCATAGATTTAAGGAAATGGGTGGGAGGTTTGGACAGGAATATAAAGAATTTTTTTTTTAATCCCAAGAGTGGTGGGAATCTGGAATTCACTGACTGAAAAGGTCTTTATTCTTTATTCATTCATGGGATGAGGGCATCGCTAGCTAAGCAGCACTTATTGCCCATCCCTAATTGCCCAGAGGGCAGTTAAGAGTCAACCATGTTGCTGTGGGTCTGGAGTCACATTTAGTCCAGACCAGGTAAGGATGGTAGTTTCCTCCCCTAAAGGAGGAAAGGACATTAGTGAACCAGATGGGCTTTTCCTGACAATCGACACTGGATATATGGTCATCATTAGACTTTTAATTTCAGATATCTATTGAATTCAAATTCCATCACGTACCGTGACAGGATTCGAAACTGGGTCCACAGAGCATTATCTGGGTCTCTGGGTTAACAGGCTGGTGACGATACCTCTAGGCATTGCCTCCCCAGTTGGAGCAGAAGTCCACATAACATTATAGAGGTATTTAGATGTGAACTTGTGATGCCAAGATACATAAGACTATGTGTTTGAAAATAAAATATTTAGGTACTTGTTTTTGACCAACATAGACTGGCTGGCCTGAAGGGCTTTTTTTGTGCTGTGGACCTCTATGACTCGATAATTCTAAGATTTAAAAGCTGTGAGCAGAAACCGATAACTGTTTGCGGTTCTAAGACGGGTTGGGTCAAATCACCAGGTTACAGTCACATTGTAGCTCGTTTTAGCTTCTTTTTGATCATAGTGCTGTTTTGCAATTTTTTTTTTCTCCAGGAGATCAGAACAAACACACATGTTCAAATTGGATGTCTGCCAAATTTTCAATTATCTACATCTTTGAAAAAACAGTTACTACCACTTTCAAACTTTTGTCTTAACTTTTGCCTTCTTTCTCAAATCAATTTTGAATTGGTGATGCTTTTGGATTCAGTACTGATTTCAACTGAATATAAGGAATGTTCTCAGTGTAACAGCCATGGGACTCTCTATGAATACACTCAGTTTTCACATGGAGCTTTTTTAACTTTGTTGGGGTAAGTGGACCTGTGCAGGGTTTTCAGCTGAACCTTAACTGTGCCTGAGTGTCCTGCCCCTGGGTGACACATTACTCTTTTTTTTCTCACTATATGTAAATAAAACAGTGGGGAAAGTGCTCACATTTATTCCTGACATTACCTTCCTTGCCTTGTGAGCATTCCCTGTTGCTGTCTGTTCACAGAGTTCTACTTGACATGTTTTGATTTTGAAACTACATCCCCCCTCAAGTTTCCGTCTTTGCCCGTCTTCCATTTGGAGAAGACAGCTCTCTGAGTACCACTTTTCTACACAAACTGCCTGATGAGGACCCCCCTCTGTCTCTGAGCACTTGTTGATATATCCTGTTTCTTGGGAGCTATTCTGTGTGAATTATTCTCATCTCACTTCTGTTTTGTCCATGTTTGAGCTAAGCTATAAGGATTTCAGGAGTTTGGGTGGCCATGACAGAATAAAATCCTAGGGTCAGTGAACAGTTTATTGTTAAATAAGTGCTGCTTGGCAGCACTGTTGATGATCCCTCCATTACTTTACTGATGATCAAGAAGAGACTGATGAAGCGATAGTTGGGCATTTTGTGGATACTTTGTGATTTTTGTGTACTGGACTTAGCACAGCAATTTTTCACATTGTTGGGTGCATGTTGGTGTTGTGGCTGTACTAGACCAGGTTAGGTAGGGATGCAGCAAGTCTGGAACACGTCTTCAAGACTAATAACGTAATATCGTCAGGGACCATAGCTTTTGTTGCTTTCAGTTTGTTGTTATCAGCCATTTCTTGTTATCGCATAAAATTATAACTGCTCGCTTTTTGATACATTTATCCAGGTTTTCTGCAGGATCGTAGCACCACTTGTACCCGGAGTGTTAGAGATCTGACTGCCAGTTGCGAGATGCTGGCCTCACTGAATGCCGTCAAGTATTTTGAAAACATGTACTTATTATCGGTGAGGCTGAGATTATCTTGTCTTTCTACCAGTGACAACTATAGTCAGTTTTGTGTTATCCTGGACCCCTCTAACCAGAATGCTGTAACAGTTTGAACTGAAAACAAAAATCCTGGAGATCACAGCAGGTAAGGCAGCATCCGTGCAGCAAGCTAATGTTTCGAGTCCAGAGCTCTCATGAAGAGTCATCTAGACTTGAAATGTTAGCTTGCTTTCTCTCCATGGATGCTGCCTGACCTGCTGTGATCTCCAGCATTTTTTGTTTTCAGTTCAGATGCCAGCATCTGCAGTAATTTGCTCCTGTGCTGTATCAGTTGACCTTCTTGAAGTTCCCCCAGTATAACTGCATGACTCGCTGACCAGAAGGAATTCTGATGTTAGCCGGCATCCATCTCTCTAGCGTTACCAGCTAACTTGTAGACATCATAGTGGTAGCATCACTGGTTGAAGCACTGTTTAGATAGAAGTCATTGTATTCAATTCCAATCATTGATCTTTGGAAATGAGTTAGTCACTACTGAAGCAGAAAAGCAGTCAATATCACTTTCCAAAAACTATCCTTCTTGCTGAACAAGTTTTTGATTTGCGGCATGACCGTGGTCCTGGGGCATGCCATTCTAACACCCGTTTTACTACGAGTTACGCTTATGTACTGTCTTTAACATTACAAAACACTTGAAGGCACTTTGTAGGGTTTTTCGCAACAGTGTATTGCATCAAACCATGCAAAGGTATATTTGGAAAGGCTCAGTGAAACTCAGTTTTAAGTACTTTCTTGAAGGAGAACAGAGCCAGGAGTTGCTGGAGAGGATTCCAGAGTTTCAGGTTCAGGCAGCTGAAGGCGCAGTGAAGACATCTGGAGGAATGAAATATGGGATACTCAGCTTCTGACAATGGAAAAGCACGAAGATTGTGCTGGGAAGTAGTGTTGAGTGAGGTTACTGAGGTGAATAGAGTCAGAAGGGGTCCACAGCACAGAAAAAAGGCCCTTCAGCCCATCGAGTCTGCACCCTTCAAAAACAGCATCAAATTCTAGTCCCACGTTTCAGCACATGGCCCATTACCTTGTTTGCCTTGGCATCCCATCTAAATAATACTTTAATATTATGAGGGTTTCTGCCTCTACCACCACTACGGGCAGTGAGTTTCAGAGTCTCACCAACTTCTCGGTTAAAAAAAATAGATTTCCTAACATCTATTCTAAACCTCCTGTACCTTACCTTAAATCTCTGCCTCCTGGTCATTGATCCCTTCACCAGGGGAAAATGTTTTTTCCTGTCAATGCCCCTCATACGTTTTTACGTTTCAATCATGTTCCTCTCTCAATCTGCCCAATCTGTCTTCATAACTAGAACTCTCCAGTCCAGATAACATCCTGGTGAATCTCCTTTGCACCTTCTTTCCCATGCTATCACATCCCTCCTTTAATGTGGGTTCCAGAAATTCTCTCAATACTCTAGCTTTGGCCTAACCACCATTGTATTGTGTTTCAGTATAGCCACCCTTTCTTAATCTCTATGCCTTGTCAAATAAAAGCAAATATCCCATATGCCTTGTTAATCACTTTATCTACTTGTCCTGCTACCTTACGGGTGAAATGTATGTGCACACCAAGTCCCTATGATCCTCAGTGCTTTCCAGATCCTACTGTTAATCAGTAGTCGTTTGTTTTGTTTGTCCTGCCCAAACATGTCAACTTACATTTGTCCAGTTTGAATTCCATTTACAATTGACCAGCCACAGTAGGGTGTTGCTTTGAGAGGGTGGGGGAAGTTTCAACGTTGATTTGTGTTATTAAGCTCAGTGGAAAACCCATGAATTGCAGCAAGAGGGCAGATGATGAGTCAACGGTTGCTGCAAGTCGGGCCGGCAGCAAAATTTTAGCCAGGCTTTGGATTTACACAGATATCCATTCCATCAGTCTTGTCATGGGGTCCAGGGAGGGTGAATGGTTTGACTCTGATTGAACCTAGCACAAGATTTAAACGGATCTCGTCTTGTTTTTGTTTTACAGACTCCAAATATTACCAATGTGGAGAACTTGGTAAAGCAGTTCTATTGTAAAAAGATTTTAATTCTGATTTCCAACTTGACATAGTATCTCTGTATGTCCAACTCTCTCACTCTCCCCCAATCTGTCTCCTTGTTTACCTCTGTAAATATCTGCTTTATTTCTTTCTTCCTCTGTTATTTCCATTTCTTATTCCCTCTCCAAATTTCGTCTGTCTCGTTTGTTTAGGTCTCTTTTGACTTTTTGCTCATCTATTTCTCTTCATTATTTTCATCCTTTTCAATTCGCAGGATGTGTGTGGTGCTGACTAGGCCAGCGTTTATTGCTAATTCCTAACTGCCCAGAGGGCAATTGAGACTTACTCACATTAGATAAGCCTGGAGAACTTTTAGGCCAGATCAGGAAAGGACAACTGATTTACTTCCTTCAAAGATATTTGTGAATCCGATAGATTTTTGCAACAATGGAAATGGTTACATGAGTTTCCCCTTATTTGAGGAGGGATGTAGATTTTTTGAAGACAGTTTGGAGGAGGTTCACAAGATTGATTCCAGAGATGAGGGGTTTGCTTCTGAAAAGGGATTAAATAGCTTAGAACTATACTTGCTCGAGTTTAGAAGAGTGAAAGGAGATCTAGTTGAGGCATAAACAGTGCTAAAGGGGATTGACAAAGTAGTCATGATGCAGATGTTTCCCTTAGTGGGGCAGTCTAGAATGAGAGGTTGCAGTTTTAGGATTGGGGTAGCAGATTTAAAACAGATGAGGAGAAGTTACTTCTCTCAAAGAGTCATACATTATCCAAGAGTGTGCTGGAGGCTGCGACATTGAGTAAATTTAAGAACAAAATAGATACATTTTTAATTAGTAATAGGTTGAAGGATTGTGGAGAGCAGACAGGAAAGTGGAGCTGACACTAAGATAAACTCAACCATGATTATATTGAATGGCAGAGCAGACTTGAGAGGCTGAATTGTCTACTGCTTATTCTTATGTCCTATTTCGTCACCCATCCTGGTGGAATCAAACCTGTGTCCTCAGAATGTTGGCCTGGAAGTCTGGATTGCTAGCCCAATGACATTATCAGGATGTCGCAGCCTCTCTCTACCTCCTTCCTTCCCGCTCTGTCTTGCCCTCTCGCACCCTCTTGCTGTCGATCGCACACTTCTTTCTTTCCCTACTCTCCCCTGCGCTCGTTTCTGGTTTCTGTCACTCATTCCTTTCCTGTTTCTTCAATCCTTCCATAATTTTGTCTTTATCTCCTTTCCCCTTTCTCTGTTTCCTTGTCTATCTTTCACCTTGTTTTCTCTTTCCTCCCATTTTTTTCTCTCTATCCCGCCTTTCTCTCTCTTTCCCTTTTTGTCTCTCTCCCATCTTTTTCTCTTTCCCTCTATGTCTCATTCTTTCCGTCTCTCTGCCTGTCTGTCTCTTTCCTCATTTTCTTTCTTTCCTGAAAGCCTGCTCGCTCTTTCCATTTCCTACTGTGTGCTCTCTCTAGCTCTTCCTAGCTTTCTTTTCCTATTTATACCCTCCCTACTAGTTTGCCTGTCTCTCTCTCTCTTCTCTCTGTACCTCTTCCTCCCTTCCTCTCTCTGTCTAACCCTTCTTATTTGGTATGGTTGCAAAAAAGTTTAAGAAAAATGTGTGAAAATTTGAAAATTGTTTTTACAAAACTGTATGGAAAATGTGAAGATTTGAAAAGTATGAAACCATTGTGATAAATGTTCAAATGCTTGAAAAATTGCATGTTGTGTTTGAAAATACTTCCAATAAGAAAACAAATCCTGCAAAAAGTGAAAATTCCAACTTGTTGAAAACATGCTAGTAAACACACGGTTAAAGTTTTCGAGAAGATTTGTAGCTCGGGTTGTGTATAAGGTTGTAGACATGCTCGCTGAGCCAGTAGGTTTGGTTGCAAACGTTTATTCACCCTTCTAGGTAACATCGTCAGTGCGCCTCCTGCGAAGTGTCGGTGTTCTGTCTCGCTTGTTATTTATACACCTTGGTTTTCTGGGGTGATTGGTATTACATCCGGTTCTGTTTCTCAGTGGTTTGTACACAGGGTCTAATTCATTGTGTTTGTTGATGTAGTTCCGGTAGGAATACTAGGCCTCCAGGAATTCCCTGGTGTGTCTCTGTTTGGCTTGTGTGATTATTGATGTGTTGTCCCAGTCAAATTTGACTGGAACAACACATTAGTAAATGAATTCGACTGGGACAACACATCGATAAACAAATTTGACTGGGACAACACATCAATAATTGCACAAGCCAAACAGAGTCACATCAGGGAATTCCTGGAGGCCTGGTATTCCAAGCGGAACTCCATCAACAAACACAGTGTACAAACCACTGACAAACAAAACCGGAAGTTATACCAATCATCCCAGCAAACTGAGGCATCTAAATAACAAGCGGGACAGAACACTGATGCTTTACTGGAGGCGCGCTGACACCGGCTCAGCGAGCATGTCTACAACCTCGAAAACACAGTTAGTTTATAGAGAAAATGAGAGCAATGTTGTGAAAAGGGTCAGAAAGTGCATATAAGAAGTGAATATAAAAATGCTTCCTATTTGCAAACACGTGAAGGGAATAAGGTAACATTTAATAATATGTAAAAGGTTATAACAAAATGTGTTTTGCATTAATGGAGGAGTAAAGGTGTGAAAAATGAGTGCAAAAAGTACAAGTGAATTAATTACAAAATGTGCCTAATAATGTTTCCTCTAAGAAACAAAGTTAGGGAGATATTTGAAAAAATAAATATTGTTCGAGAATTTCGTGCAAAGTGAAAAGTTAAAGAACACAGCACTATGTAGGACTGTCTGAGAGAGATTTTAAATCTGTGATGTGGTGTATAATAAAAGAAAGGTCCATTGGAATTGAAAGGTCCAAGTAAAATAACAGTATGAAATGGAAAGACAGTCGTCCTGGATAATCCTGAGTATTTTTGAGCTATCAGAGTCTGAGTAGCCGACTGAGGGTGATGAGGCATCCTGTACCTGATATTCATACTCTTGGGTTTTGTAATGACCTTTCCGAGGAGCAGAGTACAGTGCAGCAGGGACTTGTGGTAGGCTGAGTGATCTTGATGTGAAAGGACAGTGCTTTCAACATCTACAAGTGAATTGCCTAAAATGGTCCTTGGGTGACATGTGTTCCAGATGAATGAAGTAAATGAGATGAAGCAACAATTATTGGAAAGGCGACAAATCATACTGTAAGTTTGAATATTCATTACATTTTCAAGATGGTAACCAAGAAGTACAGCTCATGGACTGGCAGAATGGGTTATAAAACCTGGAAAGTCATAAAGCACAGTCGACTTGCACCTTTGCTTTTTTTTTCTTTCTTTGTTCATGTCTGCCTGGTCATTTTCTTATGGTCCTGCAAAACTCAAATGTCACCAATATAGACATGTTTACAACAGTTCTGTTGTTAATTTCAATTCTAATCTGTACCTTTCTGTCCTCTGTTTTTTCCTCCTTTCTGTGCCTCCTTCTCTGTCTGCGTACTCCCTTTTCGTTCCCTGCAGACTTTTCCCCATTCCTTGCAGCCCCCTCATTTACTATGGCTCCTTCCCATATGCATGCCTCCCTTGCTTAGTCTGTTTCTCTGCTCTCTCCCTTCTCCCCCTTTTTTCACTCTGTCTCTTTCTGTGTTTGTCCCCTCTGTGTGTTTGTCTCTATCTGTTTCTCTCTTGCTTTGCCTTCCTTCCTCTACATGACACTCTGTTACAATATCTTTCTGCCTCATTTGATCTCTGTTTCTGTCTTTCTGTATCATTCTGCACCTGCCTTTATCATGTGCTCACCTCATATCTCCCTCCATGCAGTCTCTTTCTGTCTCCCTGTCACTCTTTCTTGTCTCTCCAATTTTTTCTCTCACTCCCTTTCTCCATTTCTTTTTTTGTTCCTGTGCCTCCTCTCTCTCTCTGTCTTTCCTTACACTATCTCACTTTTTCTGATTGCTGTCTTTCAGCCTTTTTCCCTTTCTTTCCTTCCCTTTCTTGTTTATCTGTCTCTCTGCTGCACCCAGAAATGTACTTTTTCATTGTTTCTAAACCTGCTCTGTGCCTGCAGGTTTTTTTTAATTGTCTATTCTTGGGCTTTGGGTCACTGGCAATGTCAACTTTATTGCCATCCTTTTACGCATGTGGTGATGAGTTTTTATGATAATTCGATTGGGATCTGATTATTATGAATATGCTAGGCACTTTTTCCCGAAATGATGAATGAATTGAACGTAAATTCCCTCAGTTGCCTTCGCATTACTGCTCCACTACTTTCATACTGCCAACACTTTTAATGTTTGATGAGATTGAGTAGGGAAAGCTTTATTCCATGTTTAACTCTGTGCTGTGCCAGTCTTGGGAATGTTTGATTGGACATTGTAAAAGCAGCTTAATTTTAATCCTAAAGTTGTGATATACGTTCAGTTAGATTGATTGATGGGGAACAGTGTAGAGCAATCTTTAACCTTGATTTTACATGCGCTGAGAATGTTTGATGGGATGTTATGCAGATAGAATTTCATTTGGTGTCTAACCTTGGTTATATTCCGTACATGGTTATTGCTTTTCTGTAACTTGTATCTAACCACTGATTAGTGCTTGGAGATGTGAATGAATACCGGAGTTAGTAATATATTGTCTGTTCTTCTTTCGGTTTGCAGGTTCATATTGTAGTTGAAGATAAAGATGTGACAGCGCCGTGGGTGTCAAACAACACATGCATGAATGTGGTATCAGAGGTAAGGGATAAGACACGAGAAGGGAGATGGGAAATGCACAGTTCTCTGTGGTGTGACAACTTGATGGATCAATAGGACAGGCAACCAAAAGGAAGCATGAATCAGGCAGTCCCAGTCAGCTCTTTGACTGCAAAGGGCAGCACAACTGAGCCTGAACCATCAGTCAGTGAGGAGCTGCACTCATCTTGGAGTATGTTTGCATCCATCTTGCAGGAACCTCACTCCCACCTTAGAAAGCAGAAGACTGAACGTACTCTCCTTGCCCTATCAATTTGTATGGTGCCTGTCCCAGAATAGGGTGGAGGCTGTGGCTCCACAGCATCTGCCACTCCATGTCAAAGTACTGGTCTGTGAAACAGCTTTATACTGTGAGCCTGCCCCACATTATTCCTTGATTCCCGCTTTAAACATCCTAGTTATTTTGTTTTGGTCTATCACTGGCATTTCAGAACATTGGAATATGCCAACTGTTACAATAAGATGCAAGTTGTTGGGTTCTGAGAAAGTGATGGCCATATATACAAGATAGGAGCAACAGTAGGCCATTTGGCCCTTTCAGACTGCTCCACCATTCAATACGATCATAGCTGATCATGCAGCTCACTACCCTGTTTCTACTTTTTCCCCATCCCCTTGATCCCTTTAGCCCCAAGAAGTACATATAACTCTTTCTTGAAAAGGTTCAACATTTTGTCCTTAACCACTTTCTGTGGCAGGGAATTCCATAGGCTCACCAACTAAGAAAAATTCCTGTCATCTCAGTCCTAGCTGGAACACCCTGTTTCCTTGGACTGTGACCGCTGGTTCTAGAAGACCCTGTCATCTGTGTTTATCTTGTCTAGTCCTGTTATAATTTCATAGGTTCCTAATAGATCCCTCCCTCATTCTTGAAAACTCCAGTTCTCAACCTTCCAGGGTGTCTCAATAGACAGTTCTGCGTCCCGGGAATCAGTCTGCTAAGTCTTTGTTGCAGAACTTTTTCCTCTAATAAAGAAATCAGAACTACATATGATACCCCAGATGTGGTCTCAGCAAGGCTTCTGTAAAATTGCAGCAAGACATCCCTCCTCCTCTACTTGAATTCTCTCACTATGAAGTCCATTTGCCTTCTTCATGCCCACTACACCTGCATGCTTACTCTCATCAACTGGTGTACAAGGATACCCAGATCTCGTTGCACCTCCTCCTTTCTCAAGTTATCACCATCGAGATGATAATGATCTGCCTTCATTTTATTTGCTCCCATTATACATCATCTTCCACGCATTTGCCCAATCATTCAAGTGTGCAAATCACTGAAAGCATCTCTGCATCCCATCCCAACTCGCCCTACCACTTAGCTTTGAGTCATTTGCAAACATGGAGATGTTACATTTCTTCCCTCATCATTACTCTCAAGAGTAATGGGTATGGAATTTTGTGAGAAGTTGGTGATGCAAGACAGTACGTCTGACATTCATACCTGTGGGAAATGACAAATTTTAAATAGAACTCATAAATTCTACAACAATTTGAAAACCTGAGGTGGAGGAAAGGGTGAATCTGTTTGATCTATTTATCGGCAACACTCAATGAATGGTTTGCACTGCTACCTGATGTCCAGTTCCAGCAGTGTAGCTGTCTTTTCTACACATCTGATTCAATTACATTTGCTGCTTTTTGTTCCAAACTGACCAGTCCATTTATAGCTTCCTGCAAGATGATAGCTTTCTTCTGTTTACTCCTTCTCAAAATATTCCTCATTCCCAAATGCCTTTGAGAAAGATTGAGCTTGGTCTGCTGCATTCTTGATTAATCTGCTACATTCTGTACCTTACCTCCACTGTCTATCCCGATTTGCAGCAAGTCTGTCTCATCAATTATCTCTCTGCTAGCTGAACACACTGCAATATATGTATTTAAATCCCACCATGGACTTGTGTGTTCCTGTCCCTATAACCTGTCGCCATTCTATAACTCTTTGTCATCTTTAATACTTAACCCTCTGTCAAATACCTCTATGCCCTCGTCCTTATTTCCTTAACCTCTCCCAGCCGACAGTTATCACACGTGTCTTCAAATCTTCTCATTACGTTATCCTTCTCTGTCTCAACCCTACTTCAGTTGTACAGTTATCTACGTTATCTTCAAGTACTCATCTCCATGTTCAATTACCTCCACAACTGACTCTCAACACTACAGCACAAAAGCAACATATTGCAGATAGTGCTGGAGGGCTGAAACTGTGCAGGTCTGGCAGATTGTTAACCGAGGATGTCAACCTTGTCTCACACTCCACAGACCCACTCAGTTTCTCACTCACTGCAATCTCTCTAACCCCTTTGTCAACTTCAAAACCTGTTCCTGTTTTCTCTGTGAGCTTGCACCTCCCTATGCCTGTAAATTCCAGCTCTTCAGCCATCTGAGGTCATTGCAGCTCTCCATCAGCTGTGGCTCCTTGTTGATATCTGATTTCCTTCACCTTGGAGTTGGAAGCAACCGTTTTGCTGCCTGGATGTGAAGCTTTGGAACTCCCTGTCTACAGTTCTCCAATTCTCTGTACTCCTTTAAGATTCTTGTCAAAGATTCCTTTGGATAGTATTTTCCATTTCCTGTCCTAATTGTCCCTTTCTGTCTCTCCATGTCAATTATTCCTCAGTAGCATTCTTGTGCAATTTTGGGGATTTTTTTTACACAAGGTATGCTTTAGAAATGTGAATTTTCATTACTGTATTGTGTTGCAATGACTGCAAGTTGCTGTTTCTATCAGGTGACCTATCACATCACATATGACGGAAATGAGGGTATCGTTGATGCCGTGGTGGCCTTTGGCTTCACTGATGTCCCGCTGTCTACCACCAAGATCCAGCAGAGATTTAATGTTTTCTTCCTGAGGGTAGGTGTAAGATCCAGATTCCTCCTTTATCCATCTTCTATCCGCCTCCCCCTCTCTCCCTATTTATTTCAGAATCCCCTTCCCCTCCCCCATTTCTGAAGAAGGGTCTCGATCTAAAACATCAGCTTTCCTGCTCCTCTGATGCTGCTTGGCCTGCTGTGTTCATCCAGCTCTACACCTTGTTACTTCAGATCCTCCAAGATCAAACTGTCAAGAGCAACAAGGACAAATCTAGCCAGACCAATTACCACCCCATCAGTTGACTTTCTATTATCAGTAAAGTGATAGAAAGTGTCATTAACAGCAGTAAGAAGCAGCACTTACTTATCAATAACCTGCTCCCTAACGTTCAGTTTGGGCTCTGCTAAGGCAATTCAGCTGCTGAACTTGTTACAGCCTTAGTTCAAGCATGAACAAAAGAGCTGAATTCCAGAGGTGAGGTGAGAGTGACTACTTTTGACATCAAGGCCACATTTTACTCAAGAGTGGCATCAAAGAGTCTGAGTAAGCATAAAGTCAATGGGAGTCAGCAAGAAACTCTTTGCTAATTGGAGTCACACCTGCCATAAAGGAAGATGGTATGTTTGTTGATCAGTCATCTCAACAGGAACCCCTTGGGATAGTGTCCTCGGTGGAGCCAACTTAGAATTGTAGAATCTTCAGGCTGTTTCATCATTGACCTTCCATCCATCAGAAGGTCAGTAAGGTCAGAAGTAGGGATGTTTGCTGATGATCGTACAATGTTCATCACTACTCGAGGCTCAAGATACTAAAGCAGTCCCTGCTCAAATACAGCAAAACTTGGAAAATATTGAGACTTGTGCTGAAAGATTTAAGAAGGCAGCGCACCACCATCATCTCAAGGGCGACTAGGGGGTGGACAATAAATGTTGGTCCAGCCAGCAACCTCCACGTCCAATGAATGAATTAAGAAAATAACAAATTCTTACACTGTAATGTACAGGAACTTTGTAGTGTGGTTTATTGTCCACATGTCTCCTGTTTTATTGAGGCAGATTGTACAGGGGTCTTCTGTAACAGCACAGCAAGGAATGGTCTGCATGAGTCTCCTTTTATAGTTCAGTGATAGACATTTTACATGAGTTTCCTATTACAGTACTTTGCAGTTCTTTGTTAACAGTCCATATTGATCTCCTCTTAATGGGGATAATTTCTCTGGATGGCAGGATATTACTGTTGGCCCATGTAAGAGTAGTGTTAGGTTCAGAACTGTTCACAATAAATAATTTGGATTTAGGGACCAATTGTAATATGTGCTGATAACACCAAACTGGGGACAGTTGTAAGGAGATTGGAAGAAAGGACTTGGACAAGCTAATCGAATGCAATAGAACACAGCAGATGGAATATGATATATACAAGTGTGAAGGTATTTACTTTGGTTGAAATAGACAGAAAGGCAGAATATTTCGTATATGGTGAAAGGTTGTGAAGTGCCGATGTCCAAAGGGATCGCGATGTCCTTGACCATCACTCACTATAAGTTGGCACACAGGTACTGCAAGGCAAGTAATATGTTGGCCTTCATTTCAAAGGGATTTGAGTACAGAAGCAAAAATGTTTTCCAGCAGCTTTATTGCGCCTTCAGTTGGAGTATTTTCTCTTGTTAGAGATGGTCATTGCTTAGCACTTATGGTACACATGTTACTTTCTATTTACCAGGCTGAGCCTAGATATTGTCCACGTCTTGCTGCACATGGACATAAACTGCTTGAGCATCTGAGGAGTCATAAATGGTGCTGAACTTGTACAATTATCAATGAACTTCCCCACTTCTTTTACACCAATGGACTGGGCTCCCTCATCACGGTGGATGGTGTTATTTGTGGAGCTTGCACATCCAGTGTATAAGATTATGAGTGGCATGGGTGGGGTGAATAGAAAGCAGCTTAATTGAAGGGTTAATAACCAGGAGACATCATATTAAAGTGAAAGTTGGAGGTTCAGAGGGGATTTGAGGAAAACAATTTTCACCCAGAGGGTGATAGGGGTCTGGAATGCGCTACCTGGGCGAGTCATTGAGGTGGGAAATCTCACAACACCTTCAAAAATACTGAGAAGAGCACTCGATTTGTCATTAAATTCAAAGCTGTGGACCTGGTGTGGCAAAATGTGACTTAATTTTCACAAGGACTGTGTAGTGGTAAACTCTCTGGATGTCAGGATATTATGATTGGGATAGTATAAGAGTAGTACTAGGTCCAATACCCTGTACTGTCATGGAGGAATACATCTGCTCCAGGTAAATTATTGAGGACAAGGTCAAATGGATTCTTTGCTATTGTTGATTTCCTCACCACCTACTGCAGAGTCATTCTGGGACTCGGGCAATTTGGTCAGTTATGGTGCTACTGATCCACCCTTTGTGATGGATCATAAATTCATATAGTACAGAAGAGGACGTTCAGCACATCAAATCTGTACCACCAAAAATGTATTACTACCTACAGTTGTCCACGCTAGGTCCATAGTTTTGAATGTAAAGTGCTGATCTGAGTGCTTCTTAGATGTTGTGGGGTTTCCCACCACAACTACTCTTCCAGGTAGTGCATTTCAGACCCCAGTCCCCTCTGAGTGAAAATATTTTTTTCTCAAATCCCCTCTTAAACTTCTTATCTTTCCCTTTAAAGTGATGCCTGCGTGTTATTAACTATTCAGTTAAGGGGAACTACCCTGTCCTTGCCCCTCAATCTTATACACCTCTTATTATGTCCCTCCTTAACCTTCTCTGCTCTAAAGAAAACAACCTGAACTTATCCAGCCTCTCTTCATAATTGAAATGCTCCACCCCAGACAACATCCTGGTGAATCTCTTTTGCACCCTGTTCAGTGCAGACACATCCTCCCTGTATCCTCCCTATATCCTCCCTCCTTCATGGAGATGTCGAATGTAAAACGCAGTGAACCTGAACACCGTCTAAAATACTCTAAATCAATGCTGCAAAGCCGAAATCCTACTTTAGGAGAAGCTAGTGATGGCGAAAGATGTCCGTCTCAAGGATTTGAATGCCATTGTGGCATTTATGCTGCTAAATGTGAAGCCCTGTGGCCCAAATTTCAGTATATTGGATAATGTCATGAGTGGGGTTGAAATTAAGTCACAAACTAAATGGGAAAAGCAGAATGTTACTGCTTTTGGAGAGGTGTAAAGTTCAGTCATGAAATATACAGTAAAAAAAAGAAAAAAAGTGGGTGGCACGGTGGCACAGTGGTTAGCACTGCTGCCTCACAGCACCAGGAACATGGGTTCGATTCCAGCTTTGGGCGACTGTCTGTGTGGAGTTTGCACATTCTCCCCGTGTCTGTGTGGGTTTCATCTGGGTGCTCTGGTTTTCTCCCACAGTCCAAAGATGTGCAGGTTAGGCGGATTGGCCATGCTAAATTGCCATAGTGTTCACAGTATTTACAGGGCAGCAAGCAGAATTCGGCATGAATCTTCAGTTACAGTACAATGAGGGACACTGGAACAGAATCTCCTGTTAGAGCAAGTGACAATATGCCCAGGTAATGTGTTATATTACATAGGTGAACAGTGTACAGCAGTCTGTTATTACAGTACAGGGACAAACCATCTGCATGGGTCTCCAGTTATGGTAGATTGCTTTACAGTCTTCAAGGGTCTCCAGATATAGTGCAATGAGGAACAGGCAACAGGGATCTCCCACTACAACATAGTGTGAGATAATCTACAGGGTGGTATCAGTTTGAATATGTTGATATACAGTGTCTAGGGTTCTCCTGTTAAAGTGCAGTAAAGGACAATCTGCCCATGTCACCATTTAAGGTGTATTGTACTGGATTCTCTTGTTAAAATCGAGAAGAATGGGGATCTTTTACAGTGCAGTAAGATGCAGGCTGTTGTTCTCTTGTATTTCTGAGAGGAACAGTCTGTGCTGGTTTCCTGTGACAAAACTGTGAGGAACGAAATTTGTGGGTCTGCAGTTACTGTAGGGATGTATAGCCTGCTTTGGTTGCGTGTCAGTACAGTGAGAAATAGTCTGAATGTGTCCCCTGTTATATTGCCATGTGGTACAGTTTTACATTATTGCCATGTTACAGAGCTGTGCTGTTCGATATTTGGCAGATAAAATTTAACATGGATAAGTACGAGATTATTCATTTTAGTCATTATCTAAATGGAGAGAAACTTCAGAGTGCTTCAGTACAGAGTGATCTGGGTGTCCTCGTGCATGATTCTCAGTAGTATTTGGTACTGTAGATAATAAGGAAGACAAATGGAATTTTTGATGTTATTGCGAAGGGAATAGATTATAACAGCAGGGAGCATTGCTGCAGCTGTTCAAGTGATACTGCACCTGGAGAAATGTGTACACTCCCTTACCTGAGGGATGTAGTTGTATTGGAGGCAGTTCAGAGGAGTTCACTCAATTGATTCCAGAGATGACAAGTTTGTTTTATGAAGAGAAATTGAGAAGTTTAGGCCTATACTCCTGGAGTTTATTGAATTGAATTAGTTTTATTGTCACGTATTCAAAGGAGTACAATAAAAAGTTCACAGTCGCTGCATTACAGCGCTAGCTTCGGTACAAAGGTACGTAGGTACAGATACTTAGGAAACAAAAAAAAAGTAAAGGAATAAACAGTCCAGCATTATAGATGATAGGAATAAATTAGGAAAACAAAGCAGTTCAGAAAATCACTCTTTCTGACCTGGTCCATGCCGGCACCTAACCTCAATGGAGACCTCCACTACCGCCTGCGCTGGACCCACCAACATAGGAGTTGCGTCACGTTAGGCACCATCTCTTCACTGCTGAAAATCTTATATATCTCAAACTATTCATTCTTCTCAAGGGAATTGACTAAGTAGATGTAGAGAGGGTACTTCCTCATGTGGGGAGAATCTAGAGTAAAAGGTCATACTTTTAGGTTAAATGGTAGCAGATTTAAAGCAGAGATGAGGAGAAATTACTTCTCTCAAAGGGTTGTGAATCTGTGGAATTCACTACCCCATAGTGCTGTAGACAAAGAACAAAGAAAATTACAGCACAGGAACAGGCCCTTCGGCCCTCCACGCCTGCGCCGATCCAGATCCTCTATCTAAACCTGTCGCCTATTTTCCAAGGATCTGTATCCCTCTGCTCCCTACCCATTCATGTATCTGTCTAGATACATCTTAAATGATGCTATCGTGCCCACCTCTACCACCTCCGCTGGCAACGTGTTCCAGGCACCCACCACCCTCTGTGTAAAGAACTTTCCACGCATATCTCCCTTAAACTTTTCCTCTCTCACCTTGAAATCATGACCCCTAGTAATTGAGTCCCCCATTCTGGGAAAAAGCTTCTTGCTATCCACCCGGTCTATACCTATCATGATTTTGTAGACCTCAATCAGGTCCCCCCTCAACCTCCGTCTTTCTAATGTAAATAATCCTAATCTACTCAACCTCTCTTCATAGCTAACACCCTCCATACCAGGCAACATCCTGGTGAACCTTCTCTGCACCCTCTCCAAAGCATCCACATCCTTTTGATAATGTGGCGACCAGAACTGTACGCAGTATTCCAAATGTGGTCGAACCAAAGTCCTATACAACTGTAACATGACCTGCCAACTCTTGTACTCAATACCCCGTCCGATGAATGAAAGCATGCCGTATGCCTTCTTGACCACTCTATCCACCTGCGTTCAGGGTACAATGGACCTGAACATCCAGATCTGTCTGTGCATCAATTTTCCCCGGGGCTTTTCCATTTACCACATAGTTTGCTCTTGAATTGGATCTTCCAAAATGCATCACCTCGCATTTGCCTGGATTGAACTCCATCTGTCATTTCTCCGCCCAACTCTCCAATCTATCTATATTCTGCTGCATTCTCCGACAATCCCCTTCACCATCTGCTACTCCACCAATCTTCGTGTCACCTGCAAACTTGCTAATCAGACCATCTATACCTTCCTCCAGATCATTTATGCATATCACAAACAACAGTGGTCCCAACACAGATCCCTTTGGAACACCACTGGTCACAGTTCTCCATTTTGAGAAACTCCCTTCCACTACAACGCTCTGTCTCCTGTTGCCCAGCCCGTTCTCTATCCATCTGGCTAGTACAGCCTGGACCCCATGTGACTTCACTTTCTCCATCAGCCTGCCATGGGGAACCTTATCAAAGGCCTTACTGAAGTCCATGTATATGACATCTACAGCCCTTCCCTCATCTATCAACTTTGTCACTCCTGAAAGAATTCTATCATGTTGGTAAGACATGACCTTCCCTGCACAAAACCATGCTGCCTATCACTATTAAGCCCATTTTCTTCCATATGTAAATAGATCCTATCCCTCAGTATCTTCTCCAGCAGCTTCCCCACCACTGATGTCAGGCTCACCGGTCTATAATTACCTGGATTATCCTTGCTACCCTTCTTAAACAAGGGGACAGCATTAGCAATTCTCCAGTCCTCCGGGGCCTCACCCGTGCTCAAGGATGCTGCAAAGATATCTGTTAAGGCCCCAGCTATTTCCTCTCTCGCTTCCCTCAGTAACCTGGGATAGATCCCATCCGGACCTGGGGACTTGTCCACCCTAATGCCTTTTAGAATACCCAACACTTCCCCCCTCCTTATGCTGACTTGACCTAGAGTAATCAAACACTATCCCTCACCTCAACATCCGTCATGTCCCTCTCCTCAGTGAATACCGACGCAAAGTACTCATTAAGAATCTCACTCATTTTCTCTGACTCCTCGCATAACTTCCCTCCTTTGTCCTTGATTGGGCCAACCCTTTCTCTAGTTACCCTCTTGCTCCTTATGTGTGAATAAAAGGCTTTGGGATTTTCCTTAACCCTGTTTGCTAAAGATATTTCGTGACCCCTTTTAGCCCTCTTAGTTCCTCGTTTCAGCTTGGTCCTACTTTCCCGATATTCTTCCAAACCTTCGTCTGTTTTCAGTCACCTCGACCTTATTTATGCTTCCTTTTTCCTCTTTTCTAGTCTCACAATTTCACCTGTCATCCATGGTTCCCTAATCTTGCCCTTTCTATCCCTCATTTTCACAGGGACATATCTGTCCTGCACTCTAATCAACCTCTCTTTAAAAGCCTCCCACATATCAAATGTGGATTTACCCTCAAACAGCTGCTCCCAATCCACATTCCCCAGCTTCTGCCGAATTTTGCTGTAGTTGGCCTTCCCCCAATTCAGCACTCTTCCTTTAGGACCACTCTCATCTTTGTCCATCAGTATTCTAAAACTTACAGAATTGTGATCACTATTCCCAAAGTAATCCCCTACTGAAACTTCAACCACCTGGCCAGGCTCATTCTCCAACACCAGGTCCAGTATGGTCCCTTCCCGAGTTGGACTATTTACATACTGCTCTAGAAAACCCTCCTGGATGCTCCTTACAAATTCTGCTCCATCTAAACCCCTAACACTAAGTGAATCCCAGTCAATGTTGGGAAAATTAAAATCTCCCATCACCACCACCCTGTTGCTCCTACATCTTTCCATAATCTGTCTACATATTTGTGCCTCTATCTCACGCTCGCTGTTGGGAGGCCTGTAGTACAGCCCCAACATTGTTACTGCACCCTTCCTATTTCTGAGCTCTGCCCATATTGCCTCACTGCTCGAGTTCTCCATAGTGCCCTCCTCAGCACAGCTGTGATATCCTCTTTGACCAGTAATGCAACTCCTCCACCCCTTTTACCTCCCTCTCATTGAGACATTGAGTAAATTTAAGGAGGGGATAGATGGGTTTTTAATTAGTTATGAGTTGAAGGGTTATAGAGAGTGGGTAGGAAAGTGGAGTTGAGGCTGAGATTAGATCAACCATGATCGTATCAAATGGTGGAGCAGGCTCGAGGGGCTGAATTGCCCACTCCTGTTCCTAGTTCTTATGTATATTATAGTGTCGGTTATACTACAGATTACTGTTCTGCAGTGAAGCCTTTGTGATTTGATTTAATCCTAAATGAGATTTGGCAGACTTTGTGAGATGTGATTCAGCAAAGGACTGAACTGTCATGTTTCTCGTTTGTGATTAGGTCATGGAGAGTGGACCAGCAAAGAGACGGAGTGGGAATCCTGGATATCTGAAAGGAAAACCCATCCTGGCCTTTAATGGTGAAGAGGCTGCATATCCTTTTATAACATGCGGGCTAGAGATCGAAAAATACCAGAGGGAAGATTCTCAATATTGACAATGTGGAACCTTTAGGCACTGGACGCTGATCTGGGTCAGTTCTCACTGTGGACTGGATACACTGCTGGTCAGTCCTCTCTATCTTCCCAGGGCTGGACCCTTGTCTGAGTCAATTCTCAGTATATCTCTCTGGAGACCAGTTAGTAGGATGGTCAGTCCTGTCCAGGGATGGACACTGTTGGGTTGATTCTCACTATGTCGTCCTGAAGAGCAGATGCTGTGCTGGTCAGTTCATCGTGTATCCCACTGTTCACTGGACACTGTGCTGAATCAGTTTTCACTATCCTGTGAGTAGAGACACCAGACTGCATCAGTTCTCACTGTATTGTTGGGGGACTGGATACAGGACTGGATCAGCTCTTGCCATATCCCCTGGATTTAGACACTTTACTGGTTCAGTTCTCACTGTGTCCACTGGGATCTGGACACTGGGTTGGATCAGTTGGCACAGCATGCTGTTGGGGAGAAGACACTGGGCTGGTCACTTCTCACTGAAACCTGCTGAGAATGGGACACTGGACGAGAGCAATTCTCATTGTATCTCTTGGGAACTGGATAATGGATTGGATCAGATGTCACTGTATTCCCTTGGGACTGGAAACTTGTCTGGATCAGTTCTCATGATATCCTTTTGGGAATGGTCACAGAACTGTGTCTGTGTTCATTGTATCCTCTGTAGCCTGAACAGTGGGTTGAGTTGACATGGCAGAGGCTGGATTTCTGCAAATCTGAACCACTAAGTCATGTCATCACGCTTCTTCTACACACGGGAAGCTTGTGAGGACTCTCTTTGTCACTGAGGAGTGTGATATCTAAATATTTGTTGAGATCCTTGACTATTTATTGCACTAGCCTGACAGTCCTGAAAAGCAGCAGTGATGGGTCCTGTTCTCAGTTGGTTCGGAATGACATACTCTTTCAACACAACATGAGAGCTGACTGTTTGTACAGGTGAAACTTTAGCAATCAATTTGCAATCCTCCTTTCAAAATCAAACCTTTGTCCTGCTCTTCTTGCGTGCTACAAACCAATACCCAACTTCCTTTTCCTTCCTGAAGGCCATCAATGACTCCTTCCTTTGTAAGTGTCAGCAGTGACCAGAAACTGAACTGGAAAAGCCATTATCATTGGGGTCAGGCTGACAAGGGCAGGTCAGAGGTGTTGAATTCTGCACCAAAAATTCCCTATAGTCTATCCAGCATCTACAAGGCACAAGTCAAGAGTGACAGGCTTGCCCAGATGAGTGCAGTTCCAATAACACTCAAGTAGCATCCCCACCTTAAGTACTTTCAGTGATGCACAGTGGCGGCAGTATGTACGATTACAAGGTGTACGTCAGCATCTTATCAAGGCTTCTTTGACTGCATCTTCCAAGATCACAAGCTCTACCACCTGGAAGGACAAAGGAAAGCACCAGCAACATGGAATTTCTATACAAGTCACACTGCATCCTGACTTGGAGCTGGATCAGTTTTTCTGCTGTTACTTGGTCAAAATCCTGGATTTCTCTGCCAAACAGCAATGTGGATGTTCCTTCTCTCGTGGAATGCTGCAGTTCACCATGAATTTCTCAAGGGCTAATTGGGATTGGTAATAAATTCTGGTCCATCCATCGAAAGTGATATCCTATGAACAAATTGAAAATTCTCTAACTGCGGCATAGCTAAATTCATATTTAAATCCATCCAACTAGGTTATATCGCTACTACAATATCAAACAACTCTTAAAAGAGGCATAAATGATAAACTATCTGACAAAAGATAAAACATCCATCCTTGTCCTTTCTAATTTGTCTGGAGTCCTTGCTATGCTTGACCCCACCATCCTCCTCCAAAACTGTTGTCCATTTGAGTAAGACTGCACTCATCTGGTTCTGTTCTTATCTAATTGTCACCAGAAAATCTTCAGTGGCTTGCCATCTAGCTCTGGCATCATTAATCTTGGTATCCCCCAAATGTTCCTTAGCTCCCTTGTAATTCTCATCTAGAGGCTGTCTTCTCTAGACAACATCTAAATGTATGCTGACAACACAGCTCTCCCTCACCACCACCACCATTTGTTTTGACCCTCAAATGTCTATAAATTGTCAGACCGCTTGTCCAAAGTGAAATAGTAGAGGAGTAGAATATCTTCCAGGGTAATATTGTGAAGGCTTTTAGGAAGTTATGTTCCTACAGCTGAACTCATAGTTTGTGGCAAAAGGCACAAAGACAATTTCAGTCGCCATTGAAACAGACCTCTCCCTGCCAACTGTCCGAAGCAAACTCAGCCTCTTCACAAACTTGCAAGGGAGACAGTCATTGTAAACCGGATGCCCAGGGACATGGGTTTGAATCCCACCATGGCAGTTTGTAGAATTTATATTCAGGCATTGATCAGGAACTGAAAGCAAATCCCAGTGACGGTGCCCACAAAGCTGTCACTGATTATTGTAAAACCCTTTTCACAAGGAAATCTGCCACTCTTACCAGGGCTGACCTACAGGTAATTCCAGATCCACTGCAACAATTGGCTTTGAAATGTTCCAGCAAGCCATTAAGTTCAAGGGCAGTTAGCAATGGCAGCACCCATGAAATAGTTTTCTTTCAAAATATCCCAAGATTCTCTTCTGACCAAATATCCTCCCACCACTATTTGCACTTCCATAATATTGCATGGTTTCACCCATGTCATTGACTGAAGCCTTCATCTGTGTTTTTAAATTTGGATTGGCACAGCATGTTGGACTTCCTAATGTCTGCGCTCTAAACTTGGCCTCATTCAAACCTGTCCTGCCCTTGTCCTTCCTCACATGAACCCACATTTCCCTCAGCCTTCCTGCACTTGCTGACCAACACTGGACTGTAGCTGAGCCGTGATTCCACTTTGAAATTCTTCTTGTCAAATCCTTCCATGAAGTAAAAGACAAATGCTTCAGATGTTGGAGATCTGAAATAAAATAGAATATGCTACCAAAACTCAGCAGATCCTGGAGTATCCATGGACAGAGAAACAGCATTGATGTTTCAAGTCCAAAAAAGCTTCTTCTGAAGCGGAGTTTCTCCAGCACTTTTTATTTTATGTTTTACATCTCCAGCATTCTGCCATACCTTGCATTTTATTTTGATGTTTAATTCACTGCCACTTTCCCTCCAGGAATGCCAACTTTGAAGAAGCTCTGCTTTTCTGTCCATGATTTCCATTTAAATCATTTGTTTGCCTTTGGTGCTTATTGTTTCCCTGTATAAAGTGTCAATCCCAACTGATTCACTAGTTATGCTTTGGAGAAGGGAGTTTGCTGTCAGGCCTCTCTGCTGTTACTGTGCTGTTTTCAGGATGCTGTTTAAAGCTACCCCTTTTGAACAAGATTCTTGTTACCTCACCTAATATCTTTTCATGCAGCAAGGATGGCATGTTGTATCTTTTTTCAAAAATAAAAATATTAAGCTAGCTTTAAATTCCAGATTTTATTGAATCCAGATTTCACCATCTGCAGTGTCAGAATTTGAACCTATGTCACCAAGACGTTAGCCTTGGGTTCTGGATTACCAGTCCAATGTTCCCGGTAGTGATAATGACTCTGAACTCATAGTTGCAAGGCACAGGGCAATGCACAGGGGCACCATTTTAAATTTCACCATCACAGCTTGGAATTTAAATTAAATTCTTAAAACCTAAATCTATAAGGGCAGCACAGTGGCTCAGTGGTTACCACTGCTGCCTCACAGCACCAGGGATCCGGGTTTGATTCCACCGTTGGGTTCTCTGTGTCTGCGTGGGTTTCCTCCGGGTGCTCCGGTTTCCTCCCACAGTCCAAAGATGTGCAGGCTAGGTGTGCAGGTATGCTAAATTGCCCAAAGTGTTCAGGGATGTGTAGATTAGGTGAGTTATAGGGGAATGGGTCTAGGTGGGAAGCTCTGTGGGTCGGTGTGGACTTGTTGGGTCGAAGGGCTGTTTCCACACTGTAGGGATTCTATGAAAAGAAGAGCTAGTCTCAGTAATAGTAGCCATGAAATATCACTGACTGCTGTTAAATCAAAACAAAAGTCTGTCTCATTTCATGTCCTTCAGGGAAAAAAATCGCTGCCCTTACTTAGGGCCTGGCGTGACGTGTAAACCAGACTGGGCCAAAGAATGCATTCAGCTCAAGGGCAGTTAGGAATGAGCAACAAATTCTGGCCTTGTCAGCCACATCCTTTGATAGACCAAACTTGTTTCACTGTTCAGCTACACATTGACTGAGCCGTATCACAAATCCATCTCTCAACATGGGTTTAACCCTTTAACCCTTACATATCTTGATGCAACAATAAAATCAGTCTCAAGTTCTGAAATGTTTAACTGTAGGTCAGCCGCAGCAGTTTGGTTTGAGGAGATGGTTCTGCTTTAACAACCTTTTTCTGATGATATCATTCCAACTACCCAACTAACCTAACCTAACTCTAATTGAAGTCTTTGTTCCGAAATCCTGTATTCGAGGAAAGAGTCCAGTCTCGCATCAACGTGGTTGACTCTTCACTCAGACGGCAAAGTGACCCAAGGATACACTTAGTCTTTCAATTCAAGAAGGCAACCAGTAGGTTTTGAAATCACTGGATCTGGGCACAAGCTACTTGCTTTTGCTAGTGAAGCCCATCTCTTCAGAAGGCACAAGTAGCAACAACCGTTGACGAGCTTTCTCGGTTTCAATTTTCAGGTTCGACCCTGGACAGACATGCAGTGACCTCCAAACGCGCATCAACTCGCTCCTCCTCGGGAATAATCCACCCAACTCACTAGGCATCCTGGGGAATGCTAGCGGTAAAAATTTGGAGAGCCTGACCAAGATCATCAATCCAGTGCCCAAGGCTTCGGTAATCAAACATCTCTCACCTCCCTGACCAGATACCCAACTGACAAATAGGCTGAGTCATGGAGGGAGAAGATTTGGATTGTTTCTGGATGGGCAGTGGGGGAACGGTGATGGGTGAAGGCTCATGTCATTGCGAGGCATAAGGTTTGGATCTTTCTAGGGTGGAGTTAGAAGAATCAGAGCACTCTGAGGATGGTGGGTGTGTTCATTGCTGGAGTGGCAGGGAAATGGAGGTGGGAGGTGGACAGAGGAGATAAGAGTCAGACCATTCCGAGACACACATCAAAGGAACATAGAAATTACGGCGGCAGTAGGCAATTCATCCTTTGGAGCCTGCTTCGCCATTTAGCATGATCATGACTGATCTTATCCTAGTCTGAACTCCACTTTCTTGCGTGCTCCCCGTAGCCGTCATCCCTCTTTTTGTCAGAAACATATCTATTTCTTTCTTTCATCTGTTGATTAATTCTGTCTCCAATGCACTCTAGGTCAGTGAGTTCCACAGATTCACAACCCTCGGAGAGAAGTGGTTTCTCCTCATCTCAGTTTTGAACCTCTTACCTGTGAGCTCTTGTTTGATACTGTCCCACAAGGGGGAGCATCTGTTCGACATCCACCTTATCAACCCTCTTTAGCATTTTATATATCTCAATCAGATCCACCTCCCCCCCCACCAACCCTCATTATTTTGAGCTGAAGCAAGTATAAGCCCAAGCTATTCAACCACTCGTCGTATGACAGCCCTTTCATCCCTGGAATCAATCTGGTAATCATCTGGACCACCTCCAGAGCTACAACATTCTTCCTCAAGTAAGGAGACCAAAACTGGACATAATACTCTGGGTGTGGTCTCACCAAGGCCTTATATAATTGTAACAACACTTCTTCACTTTTATAATCCAGTCCTTTTGCAATAAATGCCAGGATTCTATTTGCCTTTCTTATTATATGTTGCACCCGCATACCCACTTCCTGTGATTCATGCAGAAGGATGTCCAGATCCCACTGAACTGACGCATTTTGAATCAGCTTCCCACCTAATTAATAATTTGCCCTTTTATTTTTCTAGCCAAAACGGACAGTAAAAGTGTTGGCGTGTTGAAACATTCCTAGAGATGGGAGAAGAAAGGGTCATCTCATTTTCAGGGAGGCAGTGAGAAGTGTGAGATCATTCCCTAGGACCTGGGGAAAATGATTTGGAACAGTTCAGGATCGGTGAGAAGGGAGAAGTTTCTTGCTGTTGAAACATTCCTGGGCAGAGGAATGATGAGGGATTGCATTGCATCATTCCTAGAAGAGTAACAATGGATTGGGCTATTGCCTGGAGAGACGATTGATGGCTTGGGCCATTCCCAGAGAGAGGGATGATGATTGAGTGGACCATTTCTGGGAAGAGACTTAAAGATAGGTTGGGCCATTCCCAGGGGGCCAGAGAGGTAAAGTTGGATTGAACCATTCCTGGGAGAGTGGTTATAACATATTGGGCCAGTTCCCAGAGGGACATTGTTGGCTTGGGCCATTCCCAAAGAGAGGGATGATGACGACTATTTTTGGAGAGGGGGTGTCATGATGGATTGGGCCATACTCTGAGAGAGGGGTTACGGTAAAAGTTTGACCATTCAGACAATGTAAATGATGAACTGGACCATTTCTAGGAAAGAGGTATTTATGGATTGAGTCACTCGGGGAGGGCGGTACCGATGGACTAGACCGTTCTTGGACGGATGATAATGACTTTGGCCATTCTTGTAGCGAGAGGGCTAAAAATGCATTGGCCATTAAGAGAGGGATAATAAGTTGGATCATTCAGACAGAATGAATGGGACCATTCCTGGGGAACTGGTGGAAGGATTAAGATATTTACAGAGCTGTGGGAGAGGAATCTTCATGCTGTCACGCAGGGAAAGAAAACAAGGATGCAGATGACTAAGAACGAATGGTGTGGGGTTGAAAGAGAAATCCTAAATGATGGGATGTCTCCCCTTAACAGTCCTCTGGCAATGTTGTTTTCTCTCAAAAGACATCTTTGAGCATGCAAGCTTTCTTGTAATGGCACTCTTGCAAAAAGATTTTCTCAATCCCTCTATGTGGTGGGATCTGAGGGCCTAGCTGCGGCTACTGTATTTAAACGGGCAGCTGAGAACAAGGTTCATGTCGAGTTTCATGGTCTATCCTTGAGAATAAACCCCCCTTCCGCTCACCCTTGTTTTCAGTACAGTTTTGCTGAGGTAGTTAATCCGCTGTTTTCACCTTTTCAGAATGCGAACTGTCAGTCCAGCTGCACCCTGGCTAGTGCTTTAGAGATTCAAATTCTGTGGGCAAACCTGGGCCCTCTCGCCAATCCCCAGGCAGCAGTGTTAGGTGCCCGTTTCCAGTATCAGAAGCAGGATATACAGGTTAGTTCGGAATCAAATAATGAACTGACGTTAAATCTTTATAAATCGGGTGATTGCATCCTTGCCTGGGGCATCACACTTTAGAAAAAGGTAATAACCCTTTCAAAAAGACACAGAGAAGATTTACCAGAATTTTTTATACATTGCTTTGTACAATTTGGAAGATGCTGATGATGCCAGCATTTATTGCCAGCAACTACTCTTATGAAGATGTTGGTGAGCTGCTTTGAATCTCTGCAGTCCTTGTCATCTAGGATACTCACAATGTTGTCCAGGATTTTGATCCATTGACAGTAAAGGAATGATGATAAATGTTTGACCACTGAAACAAAATGGCCACTACCAGAGACCCATTCAGCATCCATTCTATGGGGTTGGGTTGATCACTCCTCACAGCTGCCTTCCAGTGAAACTAGAGCCTAATGTACACAAGTACAAGGCTGGGCAAAACCTCTTGGAGACCCTAGGCTGCCCAAGCATCAGGAGTTCCCCACTTGACATCCCAGGCCTTAGCTGCACACCATCCTTTCCAAGCAGGACTTGGAAACATTTTTGCCATTCCTTCACTGTCACTAGATCAAAATCCAGCTCTCCTCTCTCACAGCAATGTGGGTCTACCTACAGCAAACTGATTGAATTAAGAAGGCAGCTCACTGCCACTATCTTAGGGGCAACTTGAGTTGGGCAATATACGATAACCCAGCTATACATGCCCACATCCCATGAACGAATAAGAAAAATAAGCACCATGTTTGGTGCTGATGTGGAATGGGTTGTGTGTAATAGCAGACCATGTGATAACAAGGCCTGGTGTGTGGGGGTTAAGGTAAGAACATGGCAGAAGGTTCCTCAATCTCTAAAATTATTAAACTCGATATTGAGTCCAGAAGGCTGTAGAGTTCCCAAGCGAAAATGAGGTTTTTTTTTCAATTTGCTGTAGCACTGTATCAAGCCCGAGACGGAGATGTTGGCCAGGTAACAAGGCAGTCTGTTGAAGTGGCAGGCACCTGGAAGCTAAGGGACTTTTTTGCAGACAGAACATTGGGTGATTACTTTGTAGAACACCAGTCTATGCTTTGTTTCCCCAGTGTAGAGGAGACCACGTTGTGAGCAACGAATGCAGTTGACTAGATTAAGTGAAGTGCAGGTAAAGCGCTGCTTCACCTGGAAGATGTGTTTGGTCCCTTGGATACTGAGGAGGGAGGACAAGTGGTACAATTCTGTGGCTGCAGGGGAAAGTGCCATGAGGCTGTTTTGGAAGTGAAGGAGGAGTGGACCAGGATGTCCCAGAGGGAATGGTCCTCGAGGAAGGTTGACAAAGGAGAGGAGGCGAATATGTGTCTGGTGGTGGCATACCGCTGGAGGTGGTGGAAATGGCAGCTAATGATCCTCTAGATGTGGATGCTGGTGGGATGGTGGGTAAGAACAAGGGGGACCCTATCGCTTTTGTGGGAAGGAAGAGAAGGGTGAGGACTGAAGTGCAGATGGGTTGGACCTGGCAGAGGCCCTGTCAACTATTGTGCTGGGGATTCTTCATTGAGGAAGAAGGTAGCCATTTCGGAGGCTCCCTTCTTGAAGTTGACATCATGCAATGGAGACAGAGGAACTGGGAGAATGGAATAAAGTATTCACAGGAAGCAGAATGTGGGGATTTTTAGTCAAGGTAACTGTGGGAGTTGGTTGGTTATTGGTTGTAGTGGCCAGTCTATCCCCAGAAATGGAAACAGAGATGTTGAGGAAGAAAAGGGAAGAGTCAAAGATGGCCCAGGTGAAGGTGAGAGCTGGGTGGAAATTGGAAGTGAAATTGACAAACTTTCAAATTCAAATTGGAAAATCAAGTGAATGATAGGGACAGTGTCGATGGATCTTTACTTTAAGATTACTTTCAGTTTAAGAGAATAGAGATGGCTTTACTTAGAGTTTAAAAGAGTAGAGGAAGCTTTACTTTTATTTTAAAAAAGTTGAGGGAGCTTCATTCTGTATCTAACCCTGTGCCGTCCCTTTTCTGGGAATATTTGATGGTGTCAGTGTCAATAGAGCTTTACATTCTGTTTACCTTAAATTTAAAAGAATACAGGATGGTTTACTTTCCATTTAAAAGAATTGAGAGAGCTTTACCCTGTATCTAACCCTGTGTTCTATCTGTTCTGAGTTTGTAGGGGACAGTGAAAATGTAGTTGTCTATGTCCTGGGTGTGTTTGATGGGGCAGTGTGGAGAGAGCTTTGTTTTCAATTTAAGAGTGGAGGGAGCTTTAAGCTGCATCTAACCCTGTGCTATCCTTACCCTGTGAGTGTTTGATAGGGACAGAGAAAGCTTTACTTTCATTTTGCTTCCAGTTTAAAAAGGTAGAGGGAGCTTTGCTTTCAGTTTAAAAGAATAGAGAGAGATTTAATTTAGTTTAAAAGTGCAGAAGAAACTTTACTCTGTATCTAACCCCATGCTATATCTGTCCTGGGAGTGTTTGATAGGGACAATGTTTAGGTAGCTTTACTAGTTGCGACATCATATTGAGGGTGGTGAGACCACTTTTGGAGTACCATGTACAGTTCTGGTTGTCATGCTATAGGAAGAATGTTATTAAATTGAAGGGGGATCAGAAAAAAATTACCAGGATGTTTCCAGGACTGGAGGATTTTAAATTACAAGGATAGGCTGGGACTTTGTCACTGGAGTGGAGGAAGTTGAGGGGTGACCTTATAGAGGTTTGTAAAATCATCAGCGGCATGGAAATTATGAATAGCAAAGGTCTTTTCCCAAATGTGAACTAGAGGACACATTTTTAAGGTGAGAGGAGAAAGATTTAAAAGGGACCTGAGAGGCAATTTTTTCACGTAGTGTTGTTCGTATATGGAATGAGCTGCCAGAGGAAGTGGTAGTTGCAGATACAGAAACAACATTTAAAAGACAGTTGGATAGGTATATGAATAGAAAAGGTTTGGAGGGATGAGCCACATGCAGGCAAGTGTGACTAGTTTAGTTTGGGAAACTTGGATAACTTGGACCGAAGGGTCTGTTTCCATGCTGTAGGACTCTAGCCCAAGTATTGACCTGTCCTGGGAGTGTTTGATGGGTACAATGAGAGGGAGCTTTACACTGTCATCATCAAACACTCCCAGGACAGGTACAGAACGGGATTAGATATGGAATAAAGCTCCCTCTTCTCTTTTAAACTGAAAGTAAAGCCTTCTCTGCACTGTCATCATCAAGCATTCCCAGAACAGGTGCAGGGGCTTTACTTTCAGTTTAAAAGAGAAGAGGGAGCTTTGCTCTGATGTAACCCTGTACTGTTTGGAAGAGTTTGAGAGGGTTGGTGTCGAAAGAACTTTACTTTGTTTTAAATTTAAAAGAGTAGAGGAAGTTTTACTTTTAATTTAAGAGGAGAGAGCTCTCAACTTCTGGTTTAAAAGAATCGAGGGAGCTTTATTCTTTGTATAACCCTGCACTGTCCCTGTCGTGGGAGTGTTTGATAGGGACGGGGTAGAGGGAGCTTTAGTATGTAAATTGCTCTGTGCTGTCCCTATCATGGGAGTGCTTGATGAGTCAGTATAGAAGCAGCTTTGCTCTGTATCTAAACTGTACTGTTAGTTTTATTAGAATGAATGATGGAAGATTTACTCTGTTAGATGCTAATCATTGGTCCTTTGTCTAAAGTGTTCAGCTGGCAAGGTAACTCTGAAAACCTTTGTCACCTTCATTGATACAACTCGATACCCACCGACACCAAGAGACCAACCAACCATTGAGCAGAAGCTGCCATTCGATTTCTTTCATCCCTTCAAGGTCTACAGCAGTGGAATGCACATGGCTTCAGCATCAATACTCAGCACAGCCTGCAGTGTCTTTCTGACAGGATTCCTGGCTCAGCACTGAAGCTCCAGCACACAGATCAATCTTATATCAAGCCTGTTTCAGAACCAGTGGGAGCAGGATTTTGATTTAGCGGCAGTCAGCTGCAAACTGAGGGGAGTGGCTGTCACTGTGTCCTGATCCAGAATCAAGGGAGAAACTCTCACTGGATTTTGCACTGGGATTAGAAGATTAGCTGTCACTGGTTTCCTGAATTTGAATGAGGGTGCCAGCTTTCATTGTCCCTCCACTGAGATGAGGTGAGAATCTTTCACTGTCCCTGAACTGGCTTTAGGAGAATAGCTCTGACTGTTCCTGCATTGGGATTCAGGAATTAGCTGGTACTAGTTCCTGAATTTGGAAAAGAGATGTAGCTGTCACAATGCCTCAACTGGGATCAAGGGAGTAGCTCTCACTGTCCCTCTACTGGGATTATGGCATGGGTCTTACTGGTTCCTCAACTGGGATGAGATCAGTAGCCCTCAGTCTCCCTGCACTGGGATCAGGAGAGTGAGTAGCTGTTACTGGTTCCTGCACTGAGATTAGGGGAGTATCTCTCACTGGTCTCTCAACTGGGATGAGGGGAGTAACTGTCACTGGTTCCTCCTTTGGTTTGAAGGGAATATCTTGCATCGTCCCTGCATTGGGTTGAGGGGATTAGCTCTCACTGGTTCTCTATTGGAATGAGGGGAATAACTCTCAACATCCTTCCGTAGGGATATTGGGAGTCACTCACACTGTCCTTCCACAGGAATGAGAGGAATAGTTTTCACTGTCCCTCCGATTGGATTAGCAAATAAACTTTCACTGGTTCTTCCACTGACATGTGGGCAGTACCTTTCATTGTCCCTCTGCTGGGTTTAGGGGAATAACTCTAAATCTCTGCATTGAAATTAGACAATTAGCTCTCACTGTCCCTCAATTGAGATGAGGAGAATAACTCTCACTGCTTCTTGCATTGGGATTAGGGCAATAGCTTTGTCTCTCCAGCTGTCACTATCCCTACACTCAAATGGGTTTTGCTACCCCACTTTGCCCATCCTAGTTGAAAGACTGATGTCTTCAGGGAAAAGTAAAGCAAGTAAGGTTGTTATAATCCCAAAGGACCAAAGGCCTGCTCTCTTATAAGAGAGAGGTGACTGATGATGACTGATGATGATTTAACCTGAGGGTCACCATGCCGCAGGCAAAGGGTGAGGTTGAGAAGGTGGACCTTCTTAGTAACCTCAGCCAGTGTGGGAATTGAACCCACGCTACTGGTGTCACTCGCTTAGTAAATAGCCAACCAAACTAACTGACCCCCTACGAGCTATGACATTTCAGGCTTATCATGCACTTTGGGCCAAAATACTGGCACCTTCTTTGGCAAGGGGCAGAATCAGAGAGAACACTCCTGTGGGGTCTGTGCATTGTGTTGATGTTTCTATGGTCATCGTAACCAGTCCCCGTAACCTAAGGTCAATATGTGTAATTTATCTACTTATTCTGATCGAAATCCTTGTAAATAAACATGATTCTTATAATTGTACTGTTATGAGTACTTTAATATTGCTTCAGTCTTGTTCTCAGTATCTCTCAGCTGTGACTGTATTAGGAACCCTGGGGTAGAAAGACTCTTGACTTTTCTGAAAGCACTTCAATGCCTTGAAAATGGGAAATAAATACCAGCACACATCCCTACAACATGTTTAAACAGAAATTGCTTTCAGTTCCTTCATTCTAATCACCCACTGGATCTAAGTCTTGCTGTGGTCACACATTGACAGATTTTGTCACAATTGACTGAATGCACTTAGGGTGACCCTTTTTTGCTTGAAAGGAAAGGCTAGGGGTTGATCTGATTGGTGTTGCTGACATTATCAAATGATTCAATAGGGTTAGGGTTTGATATGGAAACGTACTGAGATGAGAACTAGGGATCATATATTTTTAAATAGTCTCTAATCCAATAAGAAATTCATAAGCCAAGGGGAAGCTATAACATTGTGGTATTGTTGATCTAATGATGACCATGAATCTGTTGTTATTCATCTGAAAAGTGCATCAGGTTTACTAATGTCCTTTAGGGAAAGAAACTGCTCTCCTTACCTTCTCTGGCCTACATGTGACTCCAGATCTACAGCAATGTGGCAAAATAATGTGCAACTCAGGTGCCTCACCATCAATCTTGTTACCCTAAGAGAGAGAGGATGAGGAGAAAGTCAACTGAAGGAACGAGGTGGTTGGTGCTTACAGGAATAGACTTGCAAAAGAGAAATGACCCTAATCATGGGAGGTGCTTCACCATTATAAATGAGCTTGTGTAGCATTTTAGCAATATTCCCATTCCTGGTTCTCATGAGATAAGTGCCCTTTGTGCCTGTCTGGCTCGCCCTAATGAGTAATCAGTATATCACTATCATCAGTGTACATGTGTAAACTTGAGGAAAGTGGCAAGGCCAGTGAGGGATTCCACACTGATCTGGAGGAATTTCTTGCGTCTTACCAGTAGCCAATGCTTTGATACTCTCTTAACAACTCATCTGCTGAGTTTGTAGATCCTGCATTGGAATCCAAAAAAAGCCAGCTCAGCTGCTCAGACTGGATTATAAGTGAGTGACCTTCAATCCTGAGGGACTGCCTGAGAAAACGGGGCTATGGATTTCAAAAGCTAGGTCCCAAGATTGCATCCTGAACTCACATCTCTGGATCATTGATACTGTACTGGTAAAAAAAAATCAGGGAATTTGCTGGTTATCTATGGAAAGTAATCAGGGAGCATGAGTAAGAGCAATTATGCACAGCTCCACTCTGGGCTTTACTCTCAAACCATTCAGTTCCCAGGCATCACTCTGGGAATGCTCTGCTCAAAGCCTCATTTCTGTTCTCTTCTTCCATCCATTTGAATTATCTTTTAAGACATTACAATGACACTTCGTTTTTCCTTCCTTTGTGAGCCGAGGCACAGAATATAAGAGCAGCAAGACCATGCTGGAGCAAGTCAAATAGTACTCAGCCAAAACCCAAGTACTGCATGTAGTTCAGTCACCTTATTACAGAATTTGCTAAGTTGCCACACCAGAAGGGTTTAAGAAGAGATTTACAAGGATGTTGTAGTGATTGTACTTGAATTGCTCCTTGTGAGGGCCAGCTTATGTCTGTGGCTGTACTATTTCTATAATTTGCTTCCTTGGATAGATGCAAAATATCCAGTGGCACTGTTTTGAAGCAGAAAGTTGCCTGTGGTGCCGTAACATTTTTTTTTGAATCCCTTAATTAATTTCACAAAATCAATTTTTTTGTTCATGAGCATTCTCTTTCTTGGAGGTTGTTGTGTACCCAAATTGCTTTTATTTTTTTTAACTCACTGGTGGGACATGGGTGTCGCTGGCCGGCCAGCATTTATCATCCCTAGTTGCCCTTGAACTGCTGCAATCCGTGTGGTGTATGTCAACTTAGGAAGGGAATTCCAGGATTTTGATCCAGCAACAGTGAAGGAACAGTGATGTATCTCCAATTCAGGATGGTGAGTGGCTTTGAGGGGAATTTGGAGGTGGTGGTGTTTGCAGGAATCTGCTGCCCTTGCCCTTCTAGATGGAAGTGGTCATGGATTTGGACAGTGCTGTCAAAGGAGCCTTGGTGAATTTCTGCAGAGTGTCTTCCGGATCGTACACGTTGCTGCTACTGATCATCAGCAGAGGAGGGAGTCGATGCTTGTGGATGTGACACCAACCAAGCAGGCTGCTTTGTCCTGGATGGTGCTATTGGAGTTGCACCCATACAGGCAAGCGGGGAATATTCCATCATACTCTTGCCTTGTGCCTAATAGACCGTGGATAGGCAATAAGGAGTCAGGAGGTGAATTACTCACTGCAGTATTCCTAGCCTCCAGGGAGAAAGCAACTTTTTCACACTAAGTGTTTTGGATGTGGAATGAACTGCCAGATGAAGTGGTAGATGCAGGTACAGTTAGAACATTTAAAAGACAGTTGGATAGGTACATGAACAGGAAAGGAGTGGGCACAATCTAGCAAATGGAGTACACTGTGGGAAAATGTGATAATGTCCATTTTTGGTGAGAATTTAAAAAAGAACTGAATGGTAGAGGTTGTAGAGCTCTGAGATTCAGTGTTTCGGATGCTAAGTATATGACGCTGCTATAGCAAGAAATTGGGAAAAATAATGGAATGTTGTCCTTTGTTGTGAGGGGAATTGAATACAGAAGCTCGCTTGAGTTATACAGAGCATTGTGAGACCACATTCAGAGTACTGTATGACATATTAGTCACCTTATGACATAAATACATTGAAGAATGTTCAAAGAATGTTTCCCAGACTTATACTTGAAATAAGTAGGTTATCTTATGAGAGTAGGATGCACCAGTTAGGCTTGAATCCACTGGTAGTTTAGAAGAGAAAGAGTGATGCGATTGAAACAAAAAAAAATCCTGAGGGATTCTTGACAGGAAGGATGTGAGGGCGATGCTTCCTGTGGTGGGAGAATCTAGAATGAAGGATCACTGTTCAAAAATAAGAGGTCACCAATTAAGCTAGGCATGAGTCTACTTTGTTTTTTTTTCCCCTCAGAGGGTCGCAAGTCTATAGAAGTCACTTCCTGACAAGTGGGGCAAACAGCACCTTTGAATATTTAAGGACAACATGGAGACATTTTTGGTAAGCAAGCTGGTGAAAGGATGTCAGAGGTAGGCAGAAATGTGGATTAAAGATTACCATTAGATGAGTCACAATTGTAATAAACAGCAGACCTAGCTCGAGGGGAAAAATATCCCCCCCCCGCTCCTTGTTCATTATGTTACCGATAGAGAAAAAGCGCTGAAGGGTGAAGTTTGTGCCAGGCATTAATCTGCCTGCTTCTTAGACTATGGTTACATAGCAATCAAACTTGGTTCCAACATTTGGCAGAGTAGGCATAGGACACCGTCTTCACTTGCGGTCAGTGGTACCCTGGTGAAGCCTGCAATCTCTGTGTAACTTGTTTCACTCTGGCAGAGAATGAACAAATGAACCGAGGTGACCTGTCATGTGCATTTCAAAAGATTGGTCTGTCTTTTTTCCATCCTCATGGCTCAGGCCATGGACTTCTATTGGATTGGGGCATTCTTGTGGGTAGAGTGCTGTAGTGGCTTGCCACTGCCTTCTACAGGATGGCTGAGCAGCAAGCTCTCCCACTCATAACATCTGCCATCAGGCATATTGAAAGCATTCACAGACTGACAGTCAACCTGTTAAAAACATACCTTCCAAAGCCAACAAGTCCAACTAACCAGCAAGCAGCCAATGATGCAGAGTCTCATCCCTAAAGGACATCAGTGAACTAGATGATTTTTTCCTGACAATTGGCAAAGGATTCATGGTCATCGTGAGACTCATTCCAGGTTTCTTATTCAATTCAAATTCCACTATCTGCTGTGTTGGGATTTGAACCTAAGTCCTCAGGACATTACCTGGGTCTCCAGTGACAATACCACTAGACTATCACCTCCCCTGGAATAGGACTGGTAAGGAGTGTTTTCCTGCTGCTGAACATGTATTGTGATGGAGGTAAAAAAAAATCAAATAACAATAGCTACAGCTTTGGTATCTAAAGTATGCTACACCTCACTATTCCCAGAGTCATCGTAAAAGTTAAACATGCTTATCAAGTGTGCAGAGTACCAGTCAGATAGACCCAGTTCTATCTGAAAACACAGACCAGGTTTGTATATGTAACAAGAATTCTTATTATTGCAAATAAATAGATTATAGCCACAGGTGAACAACTATGAATCGTCAACATGTAACTCTCCCTTCTGAAGAGACCCTTCCCACACACACACACATACAGACAGACACAGACCAAACAAAAAGGTGTTATGGAGTGGTTTAAATAATAAACCTGGGGAAGCAGTTCAATAGTTCCAGTCCACAGGGTTCACAGAGATGATCCTTTTGCTTGCCAGAATTTTCTGTTCTTCGATTTCTTTCCTCCAGGTTCTTTCCACTTCGGCAGAGGCCATTGGTACATCAACTGCAAAGTCTCCTATCTACTAGTGAAAGGCCATAGCTGACAGCAACTGGTGATGGAACATAAACCAGCTTTCTTCAATCCTTAGCTATTTTACTGGCAAGAAAGACACACCACTTTCCCCTTGCAGCAGTCTGAAGGCTTCTGCCGGTATTGTTCACACCCACAAGCTGTTCAGCCAACCTGGAGCCAAGCAGATAGTTGTTGTCATGCTCACGGCCTTCGGAATTCACAACTTGACAAAGTCCGTTGCCAGCCGAAACTCACTTGGCGCATAGTCCCTGGTCCGGCCCGTCTCCAAATAGCCTCCCCTCCTGCTTGAACAGATCAGCAGTGTAAGCACAACTTACAATGAGTTTCAGTAACTATGCTTTTAGAAAGTGCCACAATTCCTCACACAATCCTTTTCTTTCAAAAAGTTGATTTTTTTTTTCCCCCAATTTAGTCCACTATCAAAAATACAGAAATATAAACAGACATTGCCTTTAGAAATGAGACTGCTTAGTGTTGAATATAAAGTGACCTCATGAATTGGCAGGTCTGCGTACACTTTATGATTTAATTTGATTTATTATTGTCACGTGTACCTAAGTACAGTGAAAAGTTTTGCTTCATTAGCAGTACAGGCAGATCATAGCAAGCAAGGACACATGCTTGTGTGAATGTCCTTGGAAGTTTGAAGTTGGCTTGATTCCAACACCTCCCTTCCATCCTTACGTTCTGTCTGCTTTAGCACCTAAAAGCTGGCACCTTACATCCTAATTTCATGTTGTTCCCCTCGAAATAAAATCAAAGCTCCCCAGCTGTTTCTGTACCAAATCTGCTTTTTGTTCCTATTCATTTACAAGATATGGATATCACTGGCTTATTGCCTCTCATTAACTGCCTTTGAGCAGGTATTGGCGGGCTACCTTCTTAATTTGTTGCAGTACATGTGGTATATGTGCACCCACAGGCCTGTTTGGGAGGGGTGGGTAATTGCCAATATCTTTACCCAGAGACAGTGAAGGAACAGTGGGTAGTTTTTCAAGTCAGGATGGTGTATGGCTTGGATCGGACATAGTAGGAAGTGGCGTTCCCATATATCTGCTGCCCTTTCTGCTCCCAAACTAATTGTGGTGCCTGTGCACTAGCTTACACTCATCCTCATGGACTTCCACTTATCCTTTTTCTGCCAATATGACTAGTCCCCTTGCTGCAGTGTGCAGCTTTCTCCTTCAAAGCAGCCATGAGGCCAAATGTTGTATCATCTACCAACACCTTAGTTAATTTTTCTCTCTTTGATCTTGGGTGGGATGCAGGTATCGCTGGCAAGTGTTTATTGCTAATCCTAACAGCCCTTGAACAGTGGTTGGCTAAGCCGGTTCAGAGGGTAACCACATTGCTCTGGGTCTGAAGTCATGTGCAAGACAGCCCAGATAAGAATGGCAGACCTCAAAAGGGCACAAGTCCATGAGGTGGGCTTTTAGAACAATTGACGATAGTTTCAGAACTGGCTTTGTGTTCCGGATTTACTAATTAACTTTAAATTCTACCATGCCAGGATTTGAAACGGTGTCTCCACAATATTAGTCTTATTGGATGATTATTTGGATAGAAAGCTGTATGGGGAAAAGAGAGATGACTGGCACTAGGTAATAGAAATGGCTGCAGGCATGATGGGCTGCAGGCATGATGGGCTGAATGGCCTCCTATTGAGCTGTAACAATTCTGTAATTGATCTCTTGATTATTAATCTGGTGACATTACCAATATGTCACATTCTCCTACTCTTACACGACTTACATGAAACCCACATCATTGACACTGATACAAACAGCGAAGGACCCAGCATGAGTCCAGCAGAAGCCCACTGGAAGCCAGCTCTTCCCATTCCCAAGTTGCCAATAGACCTGGTTTGTTGCCACTTGGCCAACTTTGGTTCCACTGTGCCACGTTCCCTTGGCTGTTGTGAGCTTTTAACTGACCGACCAGTCAGTAAAGCAGCTGTGGAACCCTGCTGCATATGACACCAGACATGATCATGTCCTTCGTCACAAATACAGGCACCCAGCGGACAAAGTCAGAGCTGCAAACTGGGTAACACTTTATTGATTCATATAAATACCATGGGGACCAACATTGTCACCCAGATGGAGTTTGCATTCTGGTTCAGAAGTGCTTTCTTTGTTAATTTTAGTGTTTCCTACAAAGGTTATTTCCATCCCCTGCAACCCCACCCCCCACCCTCCCCCAACATCTCCCTCTTAAATAACTGGCACTGGTACTTGGTCCGGGCTGGCGAGATGCTTATGATCGGCGATCTCGAAGACCCCGAGCCCGAGGGGACCTGGCTTCGGGCTGAAGTACTGCCGCTGCCTCTGGGGCAGTGGGCGGTCGGAGATGCGGTAACGGAGCAGATACGCTGGCGTCCTGAGGGGCGCTGGATCGCACCATGCCCATCACACCACTGCCTTGGGCCCGGGTCTTATCGATGCCACTGCTGGCTAGCGGGAGGGCAGACTCCAGGAGGCCAGTGACACGACTGAAGCCCCGGTCGATCCGCGCCCCCAACCTTTCCAAGCCCGAGGAGATGGTGCAGGCCAAGGCCTGAATGGCACCAGTTTGAGCCTCGATCAACGAGGCCAATGCTGGCGCCACAGGCTCCGGGACTGGGGGCCTCACTGCGGCTTCCACCGAGCTAACCATGTGTTCCATGGTGGACTGCAAGGTGGCAATGCCCTGGGGCAGAATGCCACACAGTATGGAAGCAGAGTCTTCAACGCTCTCAGACAGGGTGAGGCAACTCCGAGACAGACTGTCCAAGGCTTCCAGGAGTTGGTGATGGACGTGGAAGATCTTCCGCTTGAAAGCCGGGCCACTCAATTCAGCGTCTCGGTGCTCCTCAGCAAAGCTGGAGTCGGAGCTGGCCCTGTGGCCGTCTGTCTCCTGCACTGTCCTTTCCAGTAGGTTCAGCTCCTGCTCACTATTGCCGAATAATTCACCTCGTGAGGATTCTTGGAGCTCGCCCTCTCTCCCATCAGACACTCCAATTTCTGTGTTGTTGTACTGAAAGGACGGGGCTGGCGATGGTGCCTCTTCCATCAGGTGATGCTCCTCAATCTCGTGCCCAGCGAAGCCCAAATAATGGGGCATATCTGGAAGGAAAGGGAGAGGGGAGAAGGGTCAGTGAGCACCACATTTGCGGGGGGGGAAAATGAGAGCTGCACGGAGGAGACCCCCCCCAACCCAGGGTGACTGCGCACCCAGCACCATGTCTCGGCGAAACGCAAGCGGCTACAGGAATGTGGAAGGCACCCTGTGAAACTTGGCCTCCAGCCTCGCCGTTCTCGATGCTCCTCCGGCTGTATATCTCCACGATGTCCAGGGCCTCCTGTTCCATCTGGGTCGGGGCTTGGACGGAAACCGGGCGCTCCCCACCGCTCAGCGGGTTCCTTGGTTTCTGTGCCAGCTTGTCCTGTGGAAAGAGCAGGGAACCGAGTTAGTTCCTTTCTTAATTCACTTGCGAGATGGGGCCATCCATCTAGGCCAGTATTTATTGCCCATCCCTAGTTACCCAGACAGCAGTTAACAGTCAACCATGTCGCTGTGGGTCTGGAGTCACAAGTAGACCAGACCAGGTAAGGATGGCAGTTTCCTTCCCTTAAGAACATTAGTGATTCAGATGGGAATTTTCTGACAATCAGCATCAGTTTCACGGTCATTATTAGACTCTTAATTCCAAATTTTTTAAAAAATTGAATACAAATTCCATCATCTGCCAGGGTGGGATTCGAACCAGCGTCCACAGAACATTACCTGGCGTCTCTGGATTAGTAGTCTAGCAATCATACCGCTAGGCCATTGCCTCCCCTGACCTCCCCTCCACTAGTGCCAGTACATCCAGCTGCTGTAACAAACGGGCTTGTGGAACAGATGCAGGGAGGGGTGAGCAGAATGCCATCTGTGCCATGCCAGAGTGGCACATGTCAGGGCATTCAACTGGACAGCTATGCCATCTTTCTCAGGTCAACAGGTCTCATCTCTACCTTCTGACTGTCAGCAGTGGCTGCATCTGCAAATAGAAAAGGGAGCTCGTCACAGAATCATAGAATTTCTACAGTGCAGATAGAGGTCATTCAGTCCAACAAACTTACACCAACCCTCCAAAGCACATCCCACTACCCCAAACCATGAACACCGCTAACACATCTGGGCTGCATATCTCTGGACACACTGTTGGGCAATTTAGCATGGACAATCAACCTAACCTTAACATCATTGGACTGTGGGAGGAAACCAGAGCACCCAGCAGAAACCCATCCAGATACACGGAGAACATGCAGACTCCATACAGACAGATGCTCAAGGTTAGAATTGAACCGGGGTCCCCGATGTTGTGAAGCAGCAGCGCTAACCACTGAGCCACTGTGCTATGCATTCTTGTGGAAAGTCCGTGACCTGCAAGGTCAACTCTTGCTTCCCTCTACAGATGCTGCCTAATTTGCTGAGCTTTTCCAGGACCGATGGCATTTACCAAACGGAGGAGAAGCTGGGGTAGATTGCAGCCATGACTGACAGAAAACACAAAAAGCCATCACACAGTGGCCAGCAAATTATTGGAGTGTGAAGAAAATTGGGGATTTAAAGTGTGTGGAAATTCGGGGCAGTGAGGCTGTCTGCTTTTAATGCTTGCAAGCGGTTCATGCAAATGAGACAAATCGCCTTCAATATCTGTCCCCGTTAAGTAATTGTAGGAGGAAGGATGAGGGAGAAACAAAACAAAGTAAGAATTTGACGGAAATAAGATGATAATATAGACTGAGTTAAGGCAGAGCAATGTCTGTCGGAACTGAAATATGTGGGAGTTTGTGATTGTAAGATTAGCCTCAGCAAACACATGTCCAATGTATGATGCCATCCCTGAACGCCTCTTGTGCAGTGACACGGAGTCTGAGAACAAGTCTAAGACTTTTTAAATTCATCCCGACATGTCAGCACTGCTGACTATGCCAGCATTTATTGACCATCCCTAATTGCCCTGGAGAAATCACTGGTGAGGCACCACGACTGCTGTAGTCCACATAGGGATAGCTCTGCCCTAAGAGTTGTTGGGATAGGGAGTTTTGGGATGTTGATCCCCAACAGTGAAGGTGAACAGATTTAGTTCCATCTCACCATCCCTACTTAGAACCACATCACTGTTAATATTGTGGCACACCTTCCTAACAACAGAATGGGTGTTATCGCAGCAGAGCTTTAGGAGACTTCCCAGCACCTTCTCAAGGGCAATTCAGAATGGGCGATAAATACTGGCCTTGCCAATGAGGTTAGCATCTCCTGAAGTGATCTTAAAACAACACTGAAGGGTCTCAGAATCAGAGACCTACAGCACAGAAAAACGGCCTTTCAGCTCATTGCATCTGCGCCAGTCAAAAACAACCACCTAACTATCCTAATTCCATTTTCCAGCACTTGGCCCATAGCCTTGTCTGCTTGGCAAGTTTTTTTTTTAATTCACTTATGGGACGTGGGCATACTAACTGGCCAGCATTTATTGCCCATCCCTAGTTGCCTTTGAACTGAGGGGCTTAGTAGGCCATTTCAGAGGGCAGTTGAGTGTCAACCACATTCCTGTAGATCTGGAGTCACATGTAGACCAGACCAGGTGAGGATGGCAGATTCCTTCCATGAAGGCCATTAGTGAACCAGGTTGGTTGTTGTCGACAATCAACAATGTTTTCATAGTCATCATTAAATTCTTAATTTCGGAATATTACTGAATTCAAATTCAACCATCTGTCATGGCGGGATTCGACCTCAGGTCCCCAGAACATTGGCTGAATTTCTGGATTAATAGTCTAGCATAAATACTAATGAACCATCACCTCTCCATTAACATTATCTAAATTCTTCAAATGAATGATTTGAGGGTTTCTACGTCTACCATCCTAACAGGTAGTGAGTTCCAGATTCCCACCACCCTCTGGGTGGAAAAATTTCTCCTCACATCTGCTCTAAACCGTCTATCCCGTCTCTTAAATCTACTGCCCCGGTCAATAATCCTGCTACCAAAGGGGAAAAGTTCCTTTCTGTCTACCTATCTATATAACCCTCATAAATTTATAAATCTTCATCACGTTCTCTTTTCAATCACCTCTGCTCTAAGGAAATTAACCCCAGTCTGACTAATCTCTCTTCAAGAATCTACACAAACTGTCACATCCAAGAGGTATGACGTACATACTGTCAGTGAGTACTTAGAGAAAAGACTGGACAGCTGGATTGAATAGCATGGCACCTTGGCATGTGAGGGTATCCAAAAGGAAATCATGGAGAAGTTTAATGTATTTGCAGTGGATTTTGTCATTGTAGAATTCTTTTGAGGCAGGATCAAGAGACCCTCATGGTATATTGTCTTTCTGGTATCAAGAGGTGATTACATTGAAATTTACAACATCCTTACAAGGCACGACAGGCGTGGATATAGACAGGATCCTTCCCTGGCTGCTGACTCCAGAACCAGGGGACTCAACCTCAGCAGTCATTTAGTAGTGCAGAACTTGAGAATTGCTGAAAGAAAGACACATTTTGTCAAAGATTTTTGTCTTGCACTCATCAGGAAAATTTGCTAAAAATGACAATTCCAGGGGAAAACCAATATTTATACTGCATTAGAGGGAAGTGCAGATTGGTCAGCAATTGGACTCTGATTGGCACAAGAGTGGCCAGTTTTTCAGCAATACTACAGAACAGCTCCTGTATGTTAAAATCCCTGGATTACTGCCAATTTGTATGTGGCTCAAGCAAAGGGTTAAGCAGTTTAGGGAAGTAAACATGAAGCTGAAGGAGTGCTGGGGTAATGTGGAGCTCCATTGCATGTGACATCAGCTAGTACTGCTTCAGGACAGTGTGACAGGATAGAAATGTACCATTGGGATAGGCTCTACCATTAACTACGTGGGACTGGAGTTTAAAATAGAAGGGATAAATTGAGTCACCACCATTAGACCACTGGAATTAGGGCCCTCATGGCACTGTGGTAGTGTACCTACCCCTGCCCTGGACCAAGAGACACGGGTTCAAGTCCCAGAGGTGTGTAATTACATCCCTTAACAGTTTGATTAGAAAAATATTTTAAATAAAAAAGTCAAAATAAGAACAGAACTAGGCCATTCGGCGCCTTGAGTTTCCTCAACCATTCAGTACGATCATGGCTGAACTGACATTCTTCCCATCCACTTTCCTGTCCTTTCCCTGTTACTCCTGATTCCCTGACTGATCAAATATCTATCCATCTCAGCTTTAAATATAAATAAAAACTTCACTCACACAGCTGTCTGTGGCAAATAAGTTCCAAAGATGTAGGTGGCTTTTCCCCAGGATGGGGGGATTTCACAACTCGGGGGCATATTTTTAAGGCAAGAGGAGAGAGATTTTTAAAAAAGGCACGAGGGGCACTTTTTTTTTTTTTTTTACACAGAGGGTCGTTCGCATGTGGAATAAACTTCCTGAGGAAGTGGTGGATGCGGACACAGTTACAATGTTCAAAAGATACTTAGACACACAAATAGGAAAGGTTTGGAGGGATATGGGCCAGGAGCAGGCAGGTGGGACTCATTTAATTTGGGATTATGTTCAGCATGGATTGGTTGGACCGAAAGGTCTATTGCCTTTCTGTATGACTCTCTGACTTACAGCACTCTGAGAGAAGGCCATGAGGGGAAACATCCGCTTAGCATTCACAACGACTTTGAACTAGTCCCAAAGGAGGGGTGGGCAGTCTAGTGGTGGGGAGAACTCAGGGATTTATAGGGAAGGTTGTATGAATTATAACTTGAAAATGAAAAGGAAGTCATTGACAGTTAGATGTCGTGCAGTAGACACTACAGGTAACAGGAAAAGCAAAACATACAAAGCAATTGAATCAACAGAGCAAAAGAAGAATTATGCCAGAAGACAGCAAGACAGGTCCTTCAAATCTGCTCTGCCATTCTAGATCTTAGCAGACCATCTACCTCACTGCCCTTCCCCTAAACTACCCCTGCACCTCTCGATGTCATTAATAGCTACAAATCGATCAATCCCTATTTTGCTTTGTGATACTATAGACTACCAAACTTTAATAACTGTTCATGGACTGAAAGAATTGATAAAGATAAACTGTGACATACGGAAAGAAGTAACAATAACTCTGTATGGAATAAGCCATTAAGGGACAAAGACAAACTTATACAGGAATTAAAGACAATCCTGGCAGCTGAATGTCCCAGGATTTAGATGTTTCAGATGTGATAAAAGAGGATGGAAAAGGGGTGGGGGAGTTGCATTACTGTAAAGGAATATCTCACAGCTGTGTTGACAGAGGATACATCAGAGGACTTGTACAGCAAGGCAATATGGGTGGAACTCAGGGAAAGCAAAGATGAAATCACAATGGTGGGGCTATACTACAGGCTTCCCAACAGCCAGAAGAGAATATGTAGACAGACTTGGGAAAGATGTAAAAACAGCAGGGTTGTTGTGATGGGTGATTTTAACTTCCCCTATACTGACTGGGACTCACTTTGTGCTAGGGGCTTAGATGGGGCAGAATTTGGAAGGCCCATTAAGGAGGGTTTCGTGACACAGTATGTAAACAGTCCAACCAGGGAAGGGGTTATACTGGACCCGGTTTTAAGAAATGAGCCTAGCCAGGTGAGTGAAGTTTCAGCGGGGCAGCATTTTGGGAGTTGTGACCATAATATCATGAGATTTAAGATACTCATGAATAGACATAACAGCAGTCCTTAGATGAAGGTGTTAAACTGGGGAAAGGCGAACTACAACAATATTAGGCAGGAAGTGGAGAATTTTGATGGAGGTGGCTATTTGAGGGTAAGTTCACTTCAGACCTGTGGGAGTATTTCAAACAGTAGTTGATAAGCATTCAGGAGCAGCATGTTCCTGTGAGAATAAAGGATAGATATGACGAGTTATGTGAACCTTCGTTGACCAGGGATATTATGACGTTGGTCAAAAAGGAAAAGGAAGCATACGTAAGGTCTAGGAGGATGGGAACTGGTGAAGCCCTTGAAGCATTTAAGGAAAGGACCCAAGTAAGGAATTAGAAAGGCTCAAAGGGGTCATGATTAGCAAACAGGATAAAGAGAATCCCAAGTCTTTTTATACATGTTCAGAAAGCAAGGGGGTAGCTAAAGAAAGGGTTGGCCCACTTAAGGGCAAAGAAGGCAATTTATGTGGGGAGCCAGAAGAGGTAGGTGAGGTCCTAAATGAATACTTTGTGTCGGTATTCACCAAGGAGAAGGAATTGATGGAGGACGATCTCAGGGAAGGGCATGTCGAATTTCTCAGGCAAGTTGCTTTAAAAAGGAAGACGTGTTGTGCATCTTAAAAAGTATTAAGATAGATAAGTCCCCAGGTCCTGATGGGATCTGTCCCACAATAATGAGGGAGGCAAGAGAATAAATTGCTGGAGCACTGACAAGCATCTTTGAATCCTTTATTTTATTTGCTTTTATTTCAAAAGCAGGAATTTATAAAATGCCCGATTGACTGACTGTGTCGACAAATTGTGTGCTTTTTAAACAAAATACAATGTATCTCCAAATACAAATCTGCAAATGCAAATTCATCCCATACATTTATATGTATGTGTGTGCATGTGTGTTTGCATGTGTGTGAGTGACTGCGTGTGCGTGTGTGATTTTGTGCGTGTAAGAGAGTGCGCACATGTGTATGTGTGCGTGTATATGTGTGCGCGAGGGTCAGGGAGTACGTGTGTGTGTGTGTGAGAGAGAGAGAGTGAATATTTGAGAGTGCAAGAGGGCGACAGAGGGCGAGGGAGCGAGTGAGAGAGTGTGACTGTGAGTGACTGCGCGTGTGACTGAGTGTGTGCGTCTGTGCATGAGAGTGAGTAGTGTGGTGGGGTCCATGGTGCAACATGAACCCAAGATCACGATTGAGGTTGTCATTATGGGTACTGAACTTGGCCATCAGTCTCTGCTCGGCGATTCTGTGTTGTTGTGTATCCCAAAGTCCACCTTGGTTTACCCAAAGATCTGAGGCTCAATGTTCTAGACCACTGAAGTGTTCCCCCACACAGACATACACACGTACATATAAATCTATGGGGTGTATTTGCATTTGCAGACTTGTATTTGTAGATGCATTCTATTTTGTTCAAAAAGGACATAATTTGCAGACACAGTCAGTCAATGGAGCATTTTATAAATTCCTGCTTTGCAAATAAAACCAATCTGATTCCAGGTTAAAACACAGACAGATTCTAAACAAGGCCTCATATCTAAAATGTATTGTCTGACCTCAGATGTCACCTCTTGTATACACTAATAAAACCTTTAGTTATCTCGAGACAGTGACTTCAAAGAAATTCTGGGATTTACATTTTAATCAATAGAAACCCACATCTCCTTTCTAACGGATTACAGATTTAACAGGAGGGAGTCAGTCAGCCGTTTAGGTTTATACAATATATACACATCAGTTGCATGATCCTTTGATCTCTTACTTATAAATTCTGTGTCTTGATACCTCCTCTTTCACTATACCTGAGGAAGTTGCAAAACTCTGAAAGCTAGTGTTTTCAAATAAACTATAACCTGGTATTGTGTGATTTTCTACCTTGTCCAACCCAGTCCAACACCAGTACCTCCCACATCATGGCATCCCATTGTTTAAGGAGGGTAGCAAGGATAATCCTGGAAATTACAGGCATGTGAGCAAAACATTGGTGGTTGGGAAATTATTGGAAAAGATTCTCAGTGACAATCTACATGCATTTAGAAGCAAATGGACTTATTAGCGACAAACAGCGTGGTTTTGTGCAGGGGAGGTCTTGCCTCACTAACTTGATCAAGTTTTTTGAGGTAGTGACGAAGATAACTGATGAGAGAAAAGCAGTTGATGTTGTCTACATGGACTTCAGTAAAAACTTTGACAAGGTCTGCTACAAAAGGTGAAGTAACAAGGTATCAGGGTGAGCTGGCAAGATGGATACACAATTGGCTTTGACAATAAGGAGATAGAGGGTAGTGGTGGAAGGATGCTTTGCAGAATGGAGGGCTCTGACTAGTGGTGTTCCACAGGGATCAGTGCTAGGACCTCTGCTGCTCATGGCCTATACAAATGATTTCGAGGAAAACGTAAATAGTAAGTTTGTGGACAATACAAAGATTAGTGGAGTTAGGGATAGTGAGGAGGATTGTCAGAGGAAACAGCAGGATATAGATCAATTGGAGGCATGGGCAAAAAAATGGTAAATGGAGTTTAATCCACACAAACATAAGGTGATGAAGTTTGGAAAGCAAAGTACAGGTAGAAATTATACAGTGGATGGCAGAACCATTAGGAGTACTGATATGCAGAGCTATCTGGGTGTGCAGGTCCATAGATCACTGAGGTGGCAGCGCAGGTAGACAAGGTAGTAAAAAAGGCCTGTGGCATGCTTGCCTTCATTGGAAAGGGCTTTGAGTATAAAGATAGGCAAGTTATGCTGTAGTTTTATAGAACTTTAGTTAGGTCACACTTGGAATACTGCATATAGTTCTGGT